ACCAAAAAACCGGAACGAAATTCGGTAAATTTTCCCGCCATTTAAAAAAAAAAAAAAATTTTCCTCATAAGATTTTAGGATTTTTCTTTCTTTTTTGAAAGATGTTTACCATACCATACTTCTTTTTAAGATTAGATTTAGCAATAAAAAAAACGGCTTTTTGTAGCGATTCAGAGAACCGGAAAAATCAGTTATCCGGAATAGCGATGGTCCCGATCGTTCCGGATAATCGGTTCCCTACTGTATCAAACATTTAACATTAACAAAAATAATTCATAATGCTGTTGAAAAGGAGAAGTTGAAGCAAATATGATGCTAAAGCAATATATCAAATAAACATAAATTCAAACATTTTGCAGGTTATACTCGCTCATATTTTTAAAATTAAAGAGTAACACCAATTTTACAACCCAAGGCACAAATACACACTTTTTTTATATGTTAGTAAAATATGCATAGTTCTTTAAAGTTTTATCTCTTTCTGCAATAAAGAAATTCTAAAATATGAATCTGATAAAGAATATTTGAAGTATTTTTTGAAAATAGGTAAGAATATCTAATTATATTAATCATATAATTCTACTAATATACATATGTAGCAATATCATAGAAACTGAAAGACATTTGTTCATTAACGTGCAAGCTGTTGTAAAGGGTATACTTCAATACTTGAAATTTTTGATAAAAAGAGCAATATTCAGTTCTCAAACTATTTCTTATTTATAGTAAGTGAATATAGCTTGAATTACTAGAGAAATGGTTTATAAAATAAAATAAATAATATATTTAGTACATAAAATACTAATAAATAAACATACCACTAAATTTAATTAATTACGTCACTAATACATAACTCATATCTTATCTGTGTGCCCATTGAATAAAATACTTTCATGTGGTAATAGTATGCAATTTCTTTTCTTTTTCTTAAATTTTAGGCATTTTCTTTGAGTTTCAGTACTTTGTTCACAAGTACACATTTGCATTTAGTCACTCAAACGTCACAGATTCGCTTAAAACATTTGCTCTCCCTTTGCATACAGTTCTTAAACTTCTCCAAAATTTTCTTTTATATCTCCTTTGACTGCTCAAATTATTAACTTTAATGTTAAAGTCTTTAAAAATAGATGCTTATTTTTAGATCGGTTTGGATATTAGCAGTTAAAAACGAAATGATTTGAGCATTAATATTAAGGATAAAAAGAAAATTACCATTGACATCTATTATTTATTCTAACTATTGAATAATTTACTAAATGTGATTTTAAATAATTTAAAACTCTTGTGCGCATAAAATGTTTTTCCTGTTACACGCAAGAAGTTAATTTTTCATATACATATTCCGTCACATGAACAGTCATGTGGTTTGTGGTAAATCCAGATTTCCACAAAATATATTTATAAATCTTTCTTTGAAAAGCTAATTCAAGTGAAAACTTGTTCAGAAGGTCAAGATCAAGTAGAAAGTCAGATACTAAATGCAATAGGGAATTTTGGCTACACAAATTAACAATGTTAAACTTTTTTTACAGCTGGGTTGGGATATCCTATCGTGAATTCTCATGGTTTAAATTATCTAAATATTAATGTTTGACAAAATGTAGAGATATGCACATCAAATAATGATTAATCAGTAAAGAAAGAATAAAAAATTACAGTTAAAAATATATATTAAAAATAGACATTTAGTACCTCCGCAAATACTGTGCCCCCAATTTGAAATCCTGGATGCATTACCCGAATGGCAGATTGACAAAAGTTTGCAGTATAGAATAACTAAACGGTTCCCAAAATATGTTTCATGAAACCTTTTAGTCACATGGAATTTCCACAAAAGCACCAAAAGTTAGGACTTTTGTTTTAACCAGCAATGATTTTTTAAACCTATATAATTTAATTAATAGTCCATTAAATTTATTATTACCAAATTAAAATTAATAACGAAAATTATATCTAATCAATAATCCATAATTTATTTAATATTTCGTTCAGTTATGTGAAATTATTTATGGAATATGCTAATGAAAAAACAATGCAAAATTTAAAAATAAAATCTTTTTTTTATTTTTTATAATTATATATTGAGAAAAAAAATATTTTTTTCAACAATATATTGAATTAATTATGACAAGCATATGCATTAAGAAGAATTACACCAGTATTTCTCATTAAAAAAAATTTAATTCGAAATAAAATAATCAAATTCAAGTTGACTAGAATTATGTTTCCCTCATAATCATTCTCAACGTTTATGATAATTATTTCTCAAAAACCATAATTCAGCTTATTTTATTTTTTTTTCAGCTTGTGCATACACTAAAATTAAATTCAGATGTTGCCAGCCAATTTAACAGTCTGACATAAAATTCTATTTAAAAAATATTTTGACATGTCATAATCTAACATTTCTGATAAAATAATGAAAATATTTCATTCTTCATATGAAAGACTACTAATTATATTTTCAATATAATTAGTAGTCTTTTTTAGTTAGTGTATTAACAGCTACTAATTAACTTTATAAAGTCGGGATCCTTCTACCACAATTAGCTTGATCATTGTAGGTGAAAAAAATTGGGAATCACTAACTTGGCTCACTAATTTAATGAAAAAATTCATGCAATCAGAAAATAAAATTTTAATTTTAATAAAAACTTTTTTTTTTATGTAAGATAAAATAATTATCTTTTAAAAATTGTATATACTTGAAGATCCAGAAATGTGTTTGCAATATTAAAATTAAATGTTATTTTGTTTTAGTAGTGTTTTTAAAACAAGAAACTGGTAGAATTTCATTACCATAAAGTTTCTTTATTTTCAAAAAAATAAAAAACTTAATATAACTACTTTTCTTTCACATGTATAAAACTTTATTTAATTTTCACTTTGTTCTTTTTGAAAAATCAAGAAAAAAACAAATGAATAATAAAAAAATAAGATTTATAAATTGACAATTCAAAAGTGCTATAATTGGAAACAAAAACTAAGTACTAAAGAGATTTTGCTAATTAAAACTTATTAATACAGTAATATATTTAAAAAAAAAAAAGCTTTAAAAATGTGAAAATCAATAAAAAAAAACTTAAGAAATCTCATATTTAAATGCTTTGTAAATTTTTACAGTGATGATTCCTCTATTAAAGAAAATTCTTTGATAGAAATCATTTTTTTTAAAAAGTGGATTTAAACTATGATTTCAATCATGGTTTAAATCCACAAACCCTATATACTAACAGTTATTTTCATGCAGCTTAAATGTTTTTTTTTCAGCAATTCAAGTGACTAGTAAAAAGTATATCAAAGTAAATAGTACATTAAAGTAAATAGTATATCAAAGTAAATAGTATATTCAAATTCGAATTATATTTATTTTAACACTTTAGGCATAGACATGGTATTTAAGGAAGAGTGGCAAATTTATTTCGCAATAGAAAATAAAGCACGGAGAAAAGCGCAACGGCTTCCTATCCGAAAGGGAAGACATTTTTTTTCAGAAAGAAATATTCATTGCAACAATTTCTTTTGCACTTTATAATGGCAATCAAGTTTAAATAAAAGTATTAATTTCTAAGCTATTTAATATATCATCTTTTAAACATGAGAAAACCAATAAAGGACAATTGAAAAAAAAAAAAGAAACTTGATAAGTTTGCTCAAAAATTTAAATAACTGTAATCCTTCAATGTTTACTTAATTGAGTAAAACCTTATTTTATACTTATGTAATTAACTGCTAACAGGCCCCTCTNACCTTGTTTGTCTTTCTTTATCTATTGTAACTAAATAGTGTTTTCTCAAGGTCATAGGGGCCCCATGATCCTAATGTGCCCAGGGCCTCAAATAGTTTAAAGACGGCCCTGACTGCTAAAATAAAATTTCATCATTACTACTAAATTAGCAAACCACATACTAAACATATACACTACAACAAATCACATACTAAACATTTACACTACTACAAATCACATATTGAATTATCTTTTATAAATAACATATTATTTTTTTACAGTCAAATACTATTAAATAAGAATACGCTAACTGCCTCTTAAATAATACAATACATAAATTTTAAAATTCTACATAAAACTAGAATAAATAATAGGAAAATAGTTATAATTAAAAAAATTTGGAAAACTTTTAACTTCCTAGTACTATTATATTAAATCTTTTTTTTATTTTTAAATTTAAGCTATTCTTATATTATTGCAAAACAATTGCAATAGAATAGTCATTTTTTAAATTCGACAATTCTGCCCAGTTTCTTCCAGTTAATTGCAATTTTTTCTAGTATTCAAGGAGAAATAGATTTCTACCAGACTGTACTTAACACTCTGTATTTAACTGAATTAAAAAATAATTATAATTTTTCTTCAATAATAATTAAAACAAGGAAAAATGACTAATAAAATCCACATCCTATTAATTCAAACTGTCATATTAACAGTTTTTCTTACTGTGCATTTAAAACCATAAAATGAATTTTTTGAAACTTCACATGCAGTTGATGGTTAGTATTTGTCTCATGTCAATAATTTAAATCTTGAAAACTTCCTCCTATTATTTCAAACAAAATGATTAAACATCTGCAAAATGTTAAAAAATAAATATATTGCAGATGTTTAACTAATAGAAATTTAAAATCTTTTTAAGGTATCAAGCTTTGAAAAATATTTTAACTGTATATAATTTTGTTCCCTCTAAATTGAACAAATGAGGCACCCATATTTCAGGAATAATACAATTTCTAAAAATGCCATTTAATGCCAACCCCTTGTTGTCTGTGCCACTTGCACTTGGAGCACACAGAAATTTTATAATTGCCATAAATAACAAATAGAATACCTTTGATCTTTAGATTTCAATTCACAAAAGGATTTGGTTTTCAACTAAAATTAGAATTTTTTTCTTCAAAATTTTCAGATTTTTTACACTATTTGAATAACCTATAATGCACAAATATAATTTTTTTTTTAAAAAATTATCATAAAATAAAAGTTTTACCCCAGCTTGCAAATTTTGTCGAAATTTTGCAGTTGCAGCGGGCTTTGCTGGGCCTTCTGGCTTTGACCACGTATTTGAATCTAGGTTTAACCGCAAAGCATTATTGCGAGATTTTCTTCTTACAGAACTACTAGGAGTTACAGAAGGAGTAACTGCTTCTGAAACCTGCTCGGTATTATCTAACGGAGGTGAGTTTGCAGCATTTAAATTAGTGTGAACTTGCTCTGGAGTTTGATTTCCACTTTCAAGAAAAAGCAAATCATCAGTACTGGCATTGGTTCTGAGTTCCATGGATTCTGCAATACAAGAAAATAAGAGATTTCAAATTAAATTTATATTTGATAAGAAGTCTTGCATTAATAAATGAAATGGAATAAAGGAGATTAAAAAAAGAGAATATGTTGCAAAACTATCACCTTTGATACTATTTATTTATTTATTGATACTTAGAAATTAATATGAATTAAGAAGTTTCGTGCATAGGGAAAAAAGTTTTGGTCCTGATTTTATCTTTTGAAAATTTATTTATTGCAGTGCAAGATATATCCACTAAAACATTTAAGAATCTGACAAAACATAAAACAAAAAAATATTTCATTGAAAAGAAATTGGATATGCCTCTTAGGTACTTGTGCAAAATCCCATCAATAAGGAAAATTAGTGCAGATTCTACCAAATTCACACCAAATCATTTCATATTGTAACCAGTGCATACTTAACGGGAATTAAAACAAAAAATGAAATGAAAAAAAAATTGAAATTAATGTCTTACAATTAAAAAAATCTGTAACATAGTTTATTTGAAAAATCAGCTTCATGCACAATGTGATGCCTGCACAAATTGTACTATCAACCTGATTGGTTAAAAAAAACATTAAATCACAGTTGTAAACTCGTCAAATTTGCTATAACAATATACCACAAAATTATTTATTTTTAAAAAAAATATTACTAAGCAAAATTATTTATGTTCACTAAATAGATCTTAGAAGAATAAAGGAAATAGAATCAGATGAGATCCTTCTTACTAATTACCAATCAAACTTCACTCAAAATAAACATTTAATTCAAAGAAATAATTGTTGGATGTGGAAAGTGGAAGCACAAGCAAACAAAATTCTTTATAGTACTTATGATTTAAGTGAATAATTTCAACTTTCATAGACAAAACTATTTTATGCTAAAAAACAACAATTATTTCAAAGCAATCATCGGGGTCAGTAAGCAACATCGAACAGAGGGCTCAGCCCCTTAGTTAACAACATATTTTCTGATATTTTAAGCCTGTTTAGGAAGAATAATAAGTCTACTTTTCTTAAATTTGGTACCTACTTGAAGTTAGAATGTTTTATACAGATGGCTAGTAGTTTTTAAAATTATAAATGTATATTTTCCATTGCGTTGATCGGTATCAATTCGTGTGCTTGTTTGTAATGATATACGTTGACTAATTCTTTATTGTTGTCGAAAAATAGTATTTTTAATTATTTTGTTTGAAATAATAAAGCAAAAATTTTCAATGTAGTAGGGTTTTGGCACCAAATAAAATAGTCAGACAAGTTTGGTGATGAAAAAAAAAAAAAATCACCAAAAGAGCATGGTTGAGCATAAACAAAGCAACTCCAAATAACTTCTTAATTAAGATTTTGAAATATTTTAAAGATAAAAGTGTCTGAAGATTCAAATTTATGAATTACGTATATTTTTTTAAAGATTTGGTGAACTTGATTATTGCGTCTTTAAATTAAATAAATAACATTATTTATGAAATCTTACATAACATTATAAAAAGTTTTAAATTAAGTTTTTCAGAGAAACAATGTGGAAAAGAAGTTCTATTGTCTTAAAATCATAAAATAAATATTTTTCCTAAATAAAATTAGTCTGATAAAAACACAACTTATTATAATAATACATTATATAATAACTTATTATAATTCACAGTATAGTTCAGATGCTGGTTATTCAATCTTTGAAATAGCTATCAATAAAATTAATATATACTTACTTCAAAATAAGCCACTTTTTAGTTCAAAAAAAAACTAAAACAAATTCATAACTTAAATGTAAATAAAAATTATCATTTATTTATTTCTAAATAAGAAATTAAAAATCAATTCTATTAAAAGAACTTAAAATTCGAATTTCTAATAAAACGAAGTAAGATCATTAATAGACTAGGAAAAAAAAAATTACAACTCTTTATAAATTCTAACATGCTGCAACATTACATAAGGAATATTTCCATCCTTCCAAAATAGAAATGAATAAAAAAAAAGAAGAAAAAAAAAAGATGTTCTCCTAACTCATTAAGAGGAAAGACAATAAAAAAATAGGTTATTAGTTTTAGAGACAGAATAAATTGCAACTGAAAAAAATATGATTACATATTGTCTTGCTTGATAAGACATGTTTAGTTAATTAGAAAATAAAAGAAAGAAAGAAAAAAATTGCATGCTTGATCGATAAAATTGCAAAAAAATCTGCATACATTAATAGCCTGAACTTAATTTGAGTTTAAGCAAGTGTTTATGATTCCACATTTAATAGCATTAGTAAACAATGTCATATTAGTGATAATTCATAAATTTAAGATCAGAGATAATTACATAAGAGATAATTCACACATTTTATTTATAATAAAATTTCTATTTAATCATAGGAAGTATTAAAAAAATTTAAAACAAAGAAACATAGGTTTTAATTGGTGATCAGCAAGGACAGATTTATGAAAGAGACTTTCAACTTTTTAAAGGATGCTTAATAACGTATAAATTTCTTTTGATTATTCACATTATTACATCACATATTTTTTATATATAAATGTAAAGGATTGAAAAATATTTTTCACTGAAGTCCCTAAATTGATCCCTGATGAATAACTGTCAAAACTGCAAATTATTTAGTAAACAGCAAGGAATGATTTACAAGAAAGGCATCCATGATTCTTCAAACTTTAAAAGGATGTTTGATTAATGACATAAATATCTTTTGATCTTATACTTTATTACATCATGTTGTTGCCAAAATGTTTTCAACCTAGGATCAGCAAGATGTTAAAAGTCGCCAATATGTTTTCAACCTAAGATCAGCGATATGTTAAAAGTTGCCAAAATGTTTTCAACCTAGGATTAGCAAGATGTTAAAAAGTCGAAAAAATGTTTTCAACCTACGATCAGCAAGATGGTCCCTGATGGACCACCAGGGACAGGCTAACAGTGCATATTTGATGAATGAACAGATTGGAAACCTGTCAAGGGCACAATTTCAGAGAGAATAAAATGAAATATGATAATTATCAAGTAGGTAGTCACTTGTATCTTTAATTTGAGAAAGGTTTATGGCTTAGTTAAAAGTTGCCAGTCAGACATTTTATCCAGATCTCCCACTTCTTTTAAACAAACCCTAATGAAGATACACCAAATATTTTCAAGGACTTCCCTACAATTCATTTAATAGACTAATACAAAACAGAATGAGAATAAAATTATTATATATTACACAATAAGAGTTTTAACTCAAATTAACGATATCCTGAAAAACTTGGATAATAATAAATAATATTTTATATCACTTTAAGAAAATAATACCTTTATTATCAATCCAATTGGATTTATTTTCGTTTGTTGGCAGTTCAAGAACATTTTTTTCTCTGAAAACAGATGTGGAAGGAATGGATGTATTATCCATTACCCGATTGTTTTCCGTTGTTTCTGACATATTAATTTTTAAAGAAACTTTAGGAGCTGAATCACATTTGTAACATATTAGCCATACATCATAAAATCCATTATTTTCCCAACATTAAATCACGTAATGCCTCGGCATACTCAAAGATAAAAGGAAAATAATACCAAAAACAAATTTAACTTTGAAAATAATTTAAACTATAATTTTAATTATTAAATTTAATAACTAAACTACAGCTGATTGTTTGTTTAAGTCTTTGAGTTTTGCTTTCTGTGCGTAGCGCAACTCAACTTTTGTCTGCTGAAAAAAAGTTTTTTTTTTTTTTTTTTTAACTTTTGTACTACGATTTTTGAAATTGTTTTCTAATTTATTTTTTTCAAGCAAATTTTTTTCTTGCGTTCAATTTTTAAGAATTCAAACATTTTTCTGCAAGGTTTTTTTTTTTTTGGGGGGGGGGGTTTCAGTAGCATCTCTTTGACCCCCAAGTTTCTTGATATTAAAATTTGATGGCGTCTTGCACATGAGCATAATTTTCAGCTGTTGATAACTGAGAAAAATATCATTCAATTTTCCAATGAACTCAGTTATTCATTAATTTCCAACAGGCTCTGATGCAATTCTAAACAAACCGAAATTTGGGAATAATTTGATAAATACCTTAAAATTTATGGCAACGTAGAAAATTCCTTTTTTTGTAGTGACGTCATTAGTGGTTATTTCGATATTTCTTCTACTCCAAATTGCGGCGTAATTATTATTTATAAAAAATGGCTGCAAATAATTATTTTGGATTCACTACTGGACAGGCACAATATGGGTAAGTAAAGAATTTAAATAGATGTCTCTAATATGAATCGCTATACTTACTGTGATACTATTGTCAATCATTACGTCTGCGTCTGACTTCATTTCGGGATGCCGGTGTAAGATGGCGGCAGTCTAGTTCATGTCTGCGATGAAAGTGATTAAGCATATTATACAAAATAATAATTTATTAAAAAACTCCCTAATTGTATTATCATTGTTCAAACTTGATTGTCAAATGATTGAAGATTCTTAATCTTCATCCTTATTGTTTATTTTATCAATATCTTCGGTAACTTATTGCTATTGTGCGTTTTCATTAAACCTATTCTATAGCAAAATTTATTCAAGTTTATTTGTTCAAAAATTATGTAAAATGTGGCGAATGATTGATGATGTGTAAGTACAATAACCAAGTTATTGTTATTTATGTAAATAATTAGAGAAATTGATGTTATTATTCTATATTATAGTTGATACTTTAGAGTTGCCGAAAGAGCCATTTTTCGGGAATGAGAAATGTTGAAAATTAATATAATGTACTTTTTTTTTAAATTTTAACTATTTCCTGATACACTTTTTATATAAAAATGTATATTTCCTTATTTAATGTTTATCTGTTCGTTTAATCATAAAATTAAGATATTCGCCTAATAAATAATGACCTTGCATTCTCATATCATAGTTCCTATGTTATACCATAGATTTTTTTGATGACTTTTTTTATTGAAAAAAAATTAACAAAAGCAAATTTATGCTATTTTTCTTATTAAACTGCTTTTGCAAAGCTGTTCTTCATTAAGTCCAGTTTTCTAAGAACATAAGTATCTGTAACACTAAGATTTTCAGTTATTTTTAAGCAAGTTAGAAACTTGATACTGTATGGAGTTTTCTATTAATTCTTATTAGAGCTTGGTAATATCACTGGTAATGTTTTTACATAGAAATGTTACTCATGTTATAAAGAATTCTTACTTTCATCTTTTGTGTTTTGACTGTCATGAAATCATCTGGATAGAAAAATAAGAATGATATCCAAGCTAATTTACTTCAATGTGTATTAATATTTTCAGTGTTTTGGCTGAACTCATTTATTGTATTAACCCTTAAATAAATTACCGATGCAAATTAGCACCTTAGAGAAATGTTTGAACATCTATGCTAGAACTAGAACTGAGTAATGCTACTTATACTCTGTTCAACGAGAGCTGTTAGCGATTGTAAGCCAAGCCATTGGATAATTGATCTTACCTTTGACTGGATAAAGTTATGACAAGCAGCCCTAATCTGACTGATTGTAAAAAGAAAAAAAAAACCACAGACAGGAACTGCAAATGGGAGTAATGTTGGCTATAGCAGCAATCCTTAATGTTTACTACCACTATCAGTTATCTTTGAACAACATATTGGTGATTTCAGATGATATAACCATGTCAGTACCTAATCCAATTATTTGAAATAAAGAAGGGTTTGTTAAAATGAGAATAAATTAAAGAAAAATTCATATTCACTATGACTTGAGTTTTACCTTTCCCATTCCATGATATTTTGTTTACTATCTCAAATGTAAGGCTGTTGTTACAACTATCAAATTTTATCTTTATAAACTTTAAGCATAGGATAGAAATGCAATCTTAAAATTCAGTATTACTAAGCACAGAGTTGGAATTTTGGACATCCTAAACTGGTTTTGGACAGGACACATGGGTTTTACTGTCTTAAAGTGTCCAAAACCTTGAACTTTGGTAAAAGCTGAAAATTCAATAGGTGTAACCATTGTACACATAATAATTACATGTATCAATAAATCAGGGTTGGCAAGTTTTTGACATGTGACAGTTTTTGACAGTTTAAACTGTCACGTCAAAAACCTATATTCATATGTGAAAATCTATATTCATGTGAAATTTAAACCTATATTCATGTGAAAATCTGCAATGATATTATTAAGAAATTTATTTATAACCAAATTTAGTGTATAGTATAGATTATACTAAAAATTAGACATTTTTAAAGATAAACATTAGCAGTTTTGTACATTAGACATCTTCTTTTAAAGAAAAATCTTTTTAATATTCTTTTAAATCTTCTTAATAATCTTTTTAACATAAGACAATACAAATTTAAGTGCTTTCTGTTAAATACACAGAGTAGTTAGTGTCGATTTACAGTATATTCAGCCTATTCATTTACTATGCTGAAAATTTAGTTTATCCAAATACTTGTGAATTTCATTTTGCTGAATACGATATAGTTTTGTTGAATATCTAAATATTCAGCTGTTGAATAATTACTTCTTGCTTTCAAGATATGCATTATTTGTATTCTTAATACAAGTGGAGAAAAAAAAATTAAGAGATAAAAATTGTTTTAAAATGATAAGTGTAATAATTATAAATAAATATAATAAACAATATGAATTATATTTATCATTATTCATAAATATAACTACTTTTAAATTCAAATTAACATACTGGATAATAAAGATATTCGGTATAACATTAAAAAAATTTTTTATACACTTGTATCAAGTTTGTATTTATACAACATAACTTGTAAGTTCCTTATAAATATTAGTTATATGTTCCTTATATGTCAAAAATGCATAGTAATAAACTTTTAATTTTCTTAAGTATCAAAAAGAAAAAAAAAATTTTTTTAAATATAAATATTTAAACAATTTTTGTGCAAAATTTTTCTGCACATGCATTTGAATATAAATTTCTGAGATTTTAAATCTGTTATTTTACCTTAATTTTAATTAAAAAATATTTTAAAACCTGCTGATTACCTATAGTATAATTAAATTTCAATATAATGCATGGCAACTGTTGGTAGTTTTGAAGTTTATATATTTTCTTGGCAAACTTCAGTTTTTGACATTTTTGACGGTTTAAACCAGTATTATACCCTTGTCATGTCAAAAAACCACTTTTTGACGTCAAAAACCCAACCCTGCAATAAATATTTGATATTTTTTATACAATTTACTTTGACTTATTAAAGGAAAATAATATAATAAAAAAAGGTTTAACTTTTTAATCCTTCAAATATAAATATGCTTTTAATACTGATAAATAATGTTTTTGCATGTGGATAAATCAGAGCTCATTCTAGGCAGAAAAAAGGGCAGGATGCATAAGTTAAAAAAAGGGCATTATTATTCTAAAAAGGCAATAATTTCTTTCTATGGGCTTTACACGTTTTATTAAAAAACATTGTAAATTAGTAAAAGAATATATATATTTTTTTACTTTACCAATAGTAGCAAAGCAATCATATTAATAACTAATTTTTATTAATAAATGAATTAACAGTTTTGTAGGGCATAACATCAGTTTCAGTTACTGACACAGGTGATGTATCACCACTGTGCTAAAAGAATCGAACATGAATGAAATAAAAGTATTCTTGAATAGTACTATAGATAAATAAACCTGTTAATGACTAACCAGGTCCAAAAAAAACTTTTTTTTTAAATTTGCGGGTCTTAACCCTAAATACTTGTACACATGACTAAAGAAGCACCCATGCAAAATTTCAGTTTATTTCAAGTACATTTAGAGCAGTGTTTCTTAACCTTTTCGGTATAATGGACCCCTTTTAAAATTTTTTAAGAAGTCACGGACCACCCCCTGTGAAAAAAATTATTGCAAAAAACATCAACTATTAGAAAACATTTAATTTTAGTATTTTAATAGTATACAAAATTTTTAAAATTTAAATTTTTAATGTGATGGTTGCTGCTGCTTTTCCTTAACTAATAAATTGGATTGGGGGATTGTATTCGACATAGCAACGCGCATATCATGTTCAACATTCAATCCATTTCGATGTTTTGATTTTATTGTCACAAGTGTGGAAAATCCCGCCTCGCAAAGATTCGCTGTAGCAAACGGAATTATAGCTGCCATAGCTCGCTTTACAAGCAATGGGTAGGTTTCCAAACATTTTAAAAATTAGGAGTTGTCAGCGGACCCCCAAAATATGACTAATGCACCCGTTAGGGGTCCATGAACCACAGGTTAAGAAACCCTGATTTAGAGGTAGCTTTGAAATTTTTACTTTGAAACCTTAATAAATAGTGATAATATGAAAATTATTTTTTTATTTATTTACTTATTTTCATAAACAATGGTCATATATTATGATAAATATAATTACTATATAGTTAACATTTTGCTTCTTGTTTTGGCAACACCAAATTACCTTATTTGGGTTTGGCAACACCACATTGTTTGTTTACATCTGTGACCTGGTGAGATTTTATTGAAACAATGTCAACAAACAAAATTAGATTTAGAAAAGACTCTGAAATTTGGTTACTTGGTTTTCCCATAAGTGAAATAAAAGGATGTAAACTACCTTCCATTAATGCAGTACTAAGAAACTTCTTCTTTCACCATGAGACAAAAACAATACATGAAAGTGCAAGTCACACTGTTGATAGTGTGTTGACCTTCTGGAATAAGGCTAGAATTCCTACAACCGAAAAGCAGAATGCAGTAAGAAAGTTAGAAAAATTAGTTGAGCGGTACCAAAAATTGAAAAAGAACAGAAATCGGCGTACGAATACTCTAGAAGACAATGAACAGAAGTTTATCAAAGAATGCAAGATGTTGTGGGATATTGCTCATGTCGGTGCTTTACAGATGATAAGAATTGATGAGGATAAGAAGTTTTTGCTTAAACAGCGAGAAGCATTTGAAGGCTGTATGTTATCAGTCGACAGAAAACTTGAGAAAAATTCAAGGCATGTGCTTTGACACTACATCTTGTAACACTGGTATTCATACAGGAGCATGTACATTATTGGAACAGAAGATTGGAAAACAGCTCCTCAGTTTGGCTTGCAGGCATCATATTTAAGAAATCATAAATAGTGATGTGTTTTCTGCAGTATTTGGACATTCTAGTGCACCTTGTGTTCTCATGTTTAAGAGATTCCAAAGTCACTGGAATTTTATAGACAAATCTTTTTTCAAATGTCCAGAAGAAACAATAGTACCTTCAGAAAATTGGAAAGTATTAAAAGAAGAAGCTATTCAATTTGCCAAACATAATCTTACATTCAAAACAAAATCATTGGCAAGAAATGACTATAGAGAGTTTTTAGAACTGACTTTGATTTATCTTGGACAGGTGATCTCCACAGGACAGGTGTATCTTGGACAGGTGTGCTCCTGGTGATCTTTGATCACCAGGAGCATTCCATCATGCATGGTGAATGGCCAAAGTTATTTACTGTTTAAAAATATACATGTTTCATGAACAGTTTAAGCTCACACCAAAAGAAGCTAAAGGGTTGAAACGATTCAATGATTTTAGCACACACTTGTACATGAAAGCCTGGTTTCGCTGCTCTAACGCAGCTGATGCACCTTTCATAGACTTAGAATTTTTGAAACATTTAAATTTGGTGAAAAATGAATGCAAAGAAATCTCAAAAGCTGCAAGCAATGGGTTGAAGAGGCATCTGTGTTACTTAAACTGTGACTTAGTCATGCTCAGCCTATTCAGCTGTCATGTAAGCACAGAAGATAGGGTTTTAATGGTTGATAAGTTGTTTAAAATAGATAAACATTTAGAAGATGTAACCAATGCTTCTAAACGATTAAAGGAAAAAGAAATCGGAAATGTTAATGAAAAATCATTGTATGATTTTGTTAATGAAATATCTTGGATGATATTTAAGTCATTGAATATACAAGGCGATTTCTTACATTCGTCCCCATCGGAATGGAAGAAATTTGATTCTTACCATGATGGTGAAAAGAAAGTGAAATGTTTAAAGACAGTAAATGATTGTGCAGAAAGGGGCGTAGCGCTCATTACAGACTACAATGAACTGATAATTAAGGATGAAGAACAGAAACAATTCTTACTTCAAGTTGTGGAATCCCACAGAAAAAAATTTAAGGACACTAAAAAAACCACACTTGTTCAAAATGTATGATTTTTTATTAGGATTTTCTTCATATATGCTTACTAATAGATATTGTGTTGGCTCGCTCCTTTGTATTTTATGATATAAATAAGAAATATGTATATATGAGTGTACAATTCATGGTTTTTGATCGGAAAATACAAATAAAGGCATAGTGTCAATGTGTTTTTTGTCATTTATTTATATGAAATGCACAATCCCAAACTTTAAAGTCTTTGAGCTACCTCTAAATGTACTTCAAATGAGTTGAAATTTTGCATGGGGGCTTCTTTTGTCATGTGTACAAGTATTCAGGATTAAGACCTGCAAATTTAAAAAAAAAAAAAAATTTTTGGACCAGTCTACTAACCAAGCACTTAGTCCCTAATAACTTAACCTGTATGGCAAGGTCAAACTTCAGTTATGTACTATTGAATGAGAGGACCAATTGAACTTGATTACTGATTTATCTTTGTTTAATGTTTAAATTGAAGATTCAAACAATATTAATAAAACATTATACTTTTAAAAACAAATATTCTCTAGTAGATTTAATTATCAATATGTTACTAGTTCTATGTTTATTTTACCTTTTAAATATTGTTCAGATAAAATTGTGACATAATTTGAGTAAAAGGGTTTTGGACAGGATGGTTTAAATTAAACCGTGGATTAATCCATTCTATCCTAAACCTTGCCAACCCTCACTAAACAGAAAAGTATTAAAGAACTTAAAGAAAGACTTATCCCTTAAATTTTTTAGAACTGCTACACCAACAGCAGCAAATTATACCACCAACCAAGCAGCGACTGCTGGCTACACTGTGCAGCATTCAGCTCAACCCTATGCAGCTGCTGCTACTGCTCAGCGCTCCAGTCAGTCTGCATATGAAAGTTACCAACAACCAACACATGCGGCTACTAATTATCAGTATGCTTCTAGACAACAGGTAACCTAATTCTTTTAAGTTAGTTTTTTTTTTTTTTTTTTTTTTTTTTTTTTTTTTTTTTTTTTTTTTTTTGGTATTTACTATTATAAACATAAACAAATAAGTACAATATTTTTAGTATGATGTAAGCTATTTCAAAATTAAGAAAAAGAAACTCAATGTAAAGTCCAGGATTGATTTAATCAAGTTTTAAAAAATATTCCTTCTTTAAAACTAACAATCTTTGTAATGTTGTGTATCTTGACGTGCTATAAAATTAATTTAATTTCCGTCTTAAAATTTTTAGTCATTTTTTACAAATAGACTACTTTCTGGTAGTGACTACGATGGGGGAATTTTTTTTCTTTTGTAATAATATACTATAAAAAGTATTATAAATCCAAGATAGGTGACATGGTGAGGAAATAAAATTTTTTTTAACGTATTTAAAATAATTATTTTAATTAATAGATATAAATGTCTGTCAGTTCTTAACTTTTGTCACTTTTCTGTGTGATAGATACCCGGTATTGTAGAAAACTGATTTTCTATTTTAAATTTTTATATTTTAAGAGCGATTTGTTCCTATTTTGCTTTAGCTTTTGTTAACTTTCCTTTTTTTCAGCGTTTTTATTTTGGCCCCTCAGCTTTATAAAAGCACTCCTTATGAACAGTTTTTTTTTTTTTAAAAGACAGCATTGTGAAAAATTTGAATTGAGACTTTTTAGTAAGTTTTTTATACCTTTACCCCATTCCGACAATACAGCTAAATTATGATTATTTTTAAATAATTAACCAATTATTTATAATTAATAAAAACTATTTATTAATGTTTTTTTTTTTAATTTTTTTTTTTTTTTTTTTTTTTTTTTAAATTTTGCTATTTGTTATTTAGGTAAATCACTTACATCCAAACAAATGTCAGTGAATTAGAAGCTCGTTTGCTATTTGTTTTGAATTCTTGCCAATGTTTAACAAGCTGCAAATATATATGCTAAGAAAAAGCTGATTTTCAAAAATTTCAAATGTTCTTGAATTAAAGGAATTTTGAAAGATAGTGTCCTTTTTAAATTTTTATCTATTTTTATTTACATTATATAAAGTGTTAATTTTACTGTTTTCATGTTACGTTTAATTTTTATAATTAATAACTCTTATGTATAGTAGTTGTCTTAGGCTTGCAGACATATGATTTTAAAAAAATCACTGATTTTTATTTTTAAAAAAAAAAAAACAATTTTGTGTATAGTCTTGAACATTTTTTGTATATTAAGTTTCAAACATAAACAAGTAAGTAGACTGTTCTATATATTTCTCAGATCTCAATGTGACTCATTTGCTTTTAAAAACAGTTTACATATTATATTTATAGTTCATTGAGCAAAGAAATGCAGAAGATAAGCTTTTAATGTTAAAACCCATTTCTGTAGCATTAGATAAAATGCAAAAAGATAATTGTAGTTTATCAAATGTTGTCAACATCTGGAAAAATTTAAAGGAAACTCTGAAAGATTCTAATAATAATTGCTGCAAAAATTTTTTTACTAAACGATATGAACAAGCGTTAACACCAGCTCATTTCCTAGCTTACCTCTTGGATCCTAATTCTGAAGTACAATGTTTAACACTAAATGAAAAAGATCAAGCTGTAAACTTTGTTAAAGAAAAGTATGGAGAAACCTCCTTATTAAGTATTTTGCTAAAATTCATTGTACGCTCTCCTCCGTTTAATGGAACTTTGTTTGATAAAGAATCTCTAGAATCTTTAAACATCTTGGAATGGTGGAAATCAATTGCGCTTCTAAAGAACTGTGTAGGTCAAAAAGAGTTTGATGCAATACAGTTGTTATGTACTGCAAAAGGAACAACTGCAGGGATAGAGAGGATGTTTTCCACTTTTGGACTTGTACATACTAAACTACGGAATCAATTGGGTGTAGAAAAGGCAGCTAAATTAGTCCTTATGTTTAAATCTTTAAATAAAACTAATTAAATGATTGTTTAAATAATTTGATATTGTAGATGTAGAATTAATAATTATCACATATTGTTTGATAAACAATTTCTTTCTTGATTTGTAGTTTGAAATCACTTTGTTATTGTTTATTTCTTATTTCACCTTTTGCTTTTAAATTATTAAGAAATATTTTGTTGATAATGGTTAGTAATGTTTATTTCCAATGTATACCATAAGTAACAATAGTAATACAATACAACTTTAAATCTATGGTACACAAAATTGATTATATTCCATAGAATTGAAATTATAAAAAAATCATGATTAAAATCAAAAAAATCAGATTTTTTAGATTTTTTTAAAAAAATCATGATTTTTATACACCCTGGCTGTCACTACATTAATGTAGTCTATTTGTAGAGAATGACGCTGTTAATTTTCTAGTTGTTATAAAATGTTTAGTTGTGTTAAATTAATGCAATCTACTTTTTTTTAATCTTAAAAAATTTTTTGCCATTTTCACCACTTTTTCTGTGAAAATCCATTATTGAAATAAAACTATAAATATCTAAAAATTTCTGTTGAATTTTGGAAATTAAACCAAGATTAAAGAACATGGTCAAAAATATAGAATGGAGTTAATCTAGGCAGATGATGTCATAGAAATTGTAACTTTTAAATTATATGCTTGCTGTATTCACAATATTATACCTAATCATTTTAACATGTAATTTTTTATTTAGTTAATTTTAACTTTTTCAATTTTTTAGACGACTTATGACAAAGCTCAAACTTATTATCAAGCACAGGTACCTTACTCCACTACTGAGACACCTCATTATCAAAACGGTGAGTCACTTTTGTTTTAACTAATCTGCATGTGTTCTGAAATATGTGGTAGAAATGTTAAGAGTATCACTAGTGTTCCTCTAACATCTTTCAGGGATGAAAGACTTCCGCGAAAAAGAGGATATCCTCTTTTTTCTCCCAATTTTTAAAATTTCCGACCATGTTCCAAAAAGTAAAATTTTTGGGGAGTCCAATTAGAGAAACCCAAGGTCCCCGAACGATAGTCGGATTACCGAGACTTCTGCTATAGAGTGGAAAGGAGCCTAGGCGTTTCGTTTCGACCGCCGATGTTTGAATTTTTTTGTTTGACTGATTTTCGGAATTTTAAATATTAGGAACTGCGCCGGAGTCTGCTAAAATTGCGACTCTTAATCAGACGATTTTAATATCATCTATTTTCGATTTTAATATCATCTATATTCTTCAGTGATCATTAAAAGAGGTCTTTTTCAGTGATCATTAAAAATATTTCTTATTCTTTATTTGCTTCTCATTCTTATTATTTAAATTAACTTCTCATTCTTACTATTTAAATTACTTCTCATTCTTATTATTTAAATTTCTTATTTGACCTTTTTCCGCATTTTGTGTGGAGATTTGCCCGGTTGCTAAGAGAGGTTTTGATGCTCTTTTCTAAAGGTTTCCTACAATAAAAAGTGTAAGTGGTCATATATATAGAGAAGGAAGTTACGTAGAGGTGGTTGTTCCTGAAGGTTTCGCTGTAACATGCGAATTTCTAAACTACATGAACTTTCCATAGATTTTTGCTTCTTGCCTTTAAATTAAAATTTATGTAGCCCATTTTTCGCATCTCAAGATAGATGGTTCTCAAATTTTAGAAAACTTGGTTTTTGAATCTATGTATAAAGATATGTGTTTTAATGAAACTTGATTATAATGAAAAATATTTTTCTTTTTAGTGAGTAGTAATAAACCAGTATATTCTACAACTAATGTTAATTATAACACTCGTCAAGCAACAACAGCAAAAGCACAAACCCAAAGTGCTCAAGCTTCTGCTACAACTTATCTGTATTCCACAGGAGCATCTACTGGAAATAATACATCTAATTATAGTTCTACCTATAACAGTTCACCAGTTACTACGACCTATTCTGGTATTTAAAGTTTTTTTAATTCTGTAACTTTAGTTTTTTACATTTTATTATTCAATCTTAATATCCAACAGGTATATATTTATTATGCTGTTTGTCTTTCTTACAAAGATCACTTAGATGATTTTTGAAAAAATAATCTAGTTATTAGAATTAATGAGCTTTTTTCCCAACATATGCCATAACTTCTAATTGCTACCTGTTTATTTTCTTATCTACATTAGTGCATAAAAAATCATTTTTATTTTCATGAAAACTAAAAGTATTTGAATTAATATTGTTATAAAATATCGATGGACCTTTATATGGATAGATTTTTTTTTTTTTTAAATTATTATTGTTCAATCTTACCTTTTTCCAACATATGCATAAGCCATAACTTCTAATTGCTACCTGTTTATTTTCTTATCTACATTAATGCATAAAAAATCATTTTTATTTTCATAAAAACTAAAAGTATTTGAATTAAATATTGTTATAAAATATCTATGGACCTTTATATGGATAGATTTTTTAAAAATTATTATTATTCTATCTTAATATACAACAGATGTATATCTATTATACTGTTTGTCTTTCTTACAAAGATCACCTAGATGATTTTTGAAAAAATTATCTAGTTATTAGAATTAATGAGCTTTTTTCCCTACCTATGCATAAACCATAACTTCTAATTGCTACCTGTTTATTTTTTTATCATTAATGCATAAAAATAATTTTTATTTTCATAAAAACTAAAAGTATTTAAATTAATATTGTTATCAAATATCTATGGACCTTTTTTTCTGAAAAATGTTTGTGATTTCATTAGTTTGAATAATGTTTGTGGTTAATGCACTTGCAATGTGTAGTGATTTTTTTTTTTTTTTTCCTTCCCCAGCTTCTCCAATGTATGTTCAGCAATCTTCAGTAGCTGTGCAACCTGTACAAACTGTTCAAACCAGTATTGTTCAACCTACTCAGCAAGCTCAAGCTATTCAATCTTCTGCTGCAAGTGCTGTGGCAACAACAAAGCCTCAGGCTAACAATTGGATGTCATTTAAAAAGGGACCCTTAAGAATGGCACGTCCTAAGTTGCCACCTAAACCCCAACAGCTTCACTACTGTGAAGTTTGTAAAATTAGTTGTGCTGGACCTCAGGTAGTGCTTTATTTAAACCTTTGTGTGTGTGTGTTAAGCAATTTATCAGAATTTTATTTTAAATTTTCATAATTTTGTTTAGACATACCAAGAGCATCTTGAAGGTCAAAAGCATAAGAAAAAAGAAGCTGCTGCAAAAGCAGGTACTGTCGTTCACCATGTTTCAAGGGGTGGTTCAACTTTAAAATGTGAGCTCTGTGATGTTACTTGTACTGGGTCAGATGCTTATGCTGCCCATATTAGAGGAGCCAAACATCAAAAGGTACTAAGAAACCTTTTCATTCTTATTTTTTGTTTTGTGTTTTAATTAATACTCCAGAATTTTCGCTAGGAATAAAAAAGGGCAAGGCGCTTCCTCTGAAAAAAGGACACCGTTAAAATTTATTATAATGTGCAATATTGTGTAATAACTGAATTTTATCCTCAATAGTTTTTAAATTATCCTCTTATACTATTTCATGAGTGTATTTCGAAAAGTAATTCTCTTTCATTATCAAAATAAAAGGAAAATTTGAAGTTTTTAAAAATAAATGCATATAAAATGCAAACTATGTAGATTTTTTTCCCCAAAAAGGTAAACTAGGAGAAAAGGAGAAGAAAAAGATATTTGTTTAAAAAAAATAGCTTTAAAATATAGGATCACTTAAAAAATTTTAATATCTCTGAAAAAAGATACTTAATGAAAATCAAGCAGTTTAGAATAATCTTAACAAAGTAAATATTTCTAATAGTAATCAGAATTAAACCTATAAACACAGTTAATTTTACCAGAGTGTAATTATTATTTAAACAGTGAATGCTTTTCAAAATAGAATATGAATAATAAAGGAGTGTTTTTCATAGATGGCTGCTAGTTTTCACATAGAATGCTCGTCTATAGGGTTCAAAAGGCAGGCAGAGTGGGTTGCCTTAAAGGTGAGATTACTGATGCTCAATGATATACATGCCTGCTAAGTCTCCTGTATTTTACGATCTGTGTACCCTTATATTCTCGCATTTCTCCATATTTGTTGAAGAAATATGAAATAAAAAATTGGCAATAACAGTTTTAATAGTTTAAGTAATTATAAATAATGGTTTTAAAAAAAATCTTCTTTAGATTAAGATTTATATACATATTTTTTACTTCGCTATGTGTAAGTGCTTATATTATTTCCAATTTTGAATTTCTCTTTTTGACTTAAGCGATGTATTAAAACTTTACTTGTAGCTTAGAAAATGTGATTACTAAAATCTCCGTAATTTTATTTCTCCAATGTTTGTAGGTCTGCATGTATATGTAGAATATTTCATTATTTTATTTATTTATTTTTAGGTTGTTAAATTACATACCAAACTTGGTAAACCTATTCCTTCAACTGAACCTCAAGTTTTAAGTACAGGTACAAGTAATACTTCTACAAAAGCTTCAAGCACTGGAAAGTCTTCTGGTAAAAATAACTCTGCTAAGAAATCAAATGGCCCTCCTAAAATTACATTTGTAGGTATGTATTAATTCGCCACTTAAATCAGAAAATAGATTTTGTTAAAACAGATTGGTCACTCTTTCTGGTAACCTGGAAATTCTTTAGATATCAAGATTTAGCATTGTTTGTCATATTCATTCCAAAGAATATGTTGTAACTAAATTTATACATTATTTATTGGAAGTGTTTTAGTCTATTATACACTTTTATGTTACTAATCATAAAGGCTAATCCAGATATCAGGGCTGATTGTGCTCCGGAAAAAATCCGGATTTTACGCTAACTGTGATCCGGAAGGAAGTTTCCGGAGAACGAAAGTTCAGACGTTTTAAAAAATCATTGATCACTAACATTAAAACACTTAAAACTTAAGTGTTTTAATGTTAGTGACACTTACAAACACATTTTATTTGTTGAACTTAAAAACACATTTTATTTGTTTGTAAGGAAGAGCCAAATACTTTATAAGCTTATATTCAAGATTAATATTCATTTTTTATCAGTAAATAGTTATTATAATCATAAACTCAAGAAAGAAAGACATATTTGTAAATTTCAATTACTTCTCCAGGTCTTTCATAGGTATATGTAAAATTTTAAATATATTTTGAGTAAACAAAGAAATGCTGAGAAGAAGAAGAAGAAAAAAAACTTAAATTTTTTTTCAATTTAAACTTCTTTTTTTTTTTAACTCAAGAAATGTTTCGGAATTTTGACTTGGACTCACAATTACCCGTGAGATATACTTTCATTTTTTTTAATAGTCCTTTTTTATAAATGATTCAGCTTTTAAAAGCTCTTAATTTTAAATATTAATCATAAAAGTGTTTTATTATTAATAAATTCCAGAATAAAAAAATTAATAATTATAGCTTTCAAAGTTAACCATTGAAATTGTTTTTGCATTTGGTTATAAATCTTTAATACGTAGGGATATATATTTATGTAAATTTTTTAATTGTTATTAAAATCATGTTAATCTAAGTCATAAAAATTCTCGAAACCTTTTTAATTGCAAATGAAGTTCATTTTTAGACTAGTTATTTTTGCATAAGTTGAAAATAATTAAAATACTATTTTTAAAAGTAAATTTTATTGATAAAATATCAAGCAGAGAAACATTTTTTTAATTGTACGATATATTTTCTCGACAATATTAATGCAGCGTTTTAAAAAATGGGAGTCGGCAGTTATGCAAACCTATATTTTGCCACACTTTCTGCGAATTTAAAGCAGATAATGTAATATAAAATAATGTCAGTTTTTAAATAGCTTGTATTGAGAGTTTTTTTTTTATTAAAGCAAAATTGATAGATATATATAATATTCTGTCTATAAATAATTAATAATTCTGTTGATAGATAATTACTTTTCTCTTCAAAAATAGCTGCTTCGAAAACTGATGATAGTTCTGATGCAAAAGAAGATGCTAAAGATGATGGTTAGTACTCTTAATTTTTATTTATATGGCAAAAGTCCTTTCTATGTCATCTGTTACTGTTTGAATTTATTGGATACCAAAAAAACATTTAAAATGTTAAAATTTACTTTTTTTTTAAATCTTTTGTTTAGATATAATTGGTTCATTATTAATGTGAATTGCTTTATTTTATTAGACTTTCTTGTCCTTTAATCCACCTGAATTAACGATTATTTTTGAACTGAATTTAGCTTATAATACTTAAGATTACTGTGAATTGTTTGTAAGAATCATTTCTTTTCTCTCAATTGTAGATGGTGACAAAGATGATGAAGTTCAGCCAGTTGGTATGTAGTAACTTTCTTTCCAGATTTTTTTAAAGAATATTTTTGTTTTTAATTGATAAACCCTAAAAAGTATTATCTTATTTTTAATGTATTTGTAAATCAAACTTATAAAAATGTCCTGGCCTAAAAGAGATGTTTTTAATCTTCCTGTTTGTTTCTAGCTAACTAAAATAGTTTGATGTCTTAATAGTTTGAAATCAAACATTTCTAGGCGTTAAAAATTGTTATGATTAAGCCCTAATGCAAAGGGCCAAAAAAAAAAAAAAATGCTGATAAATTTTTTTCCGGCTTAGGTATATTTTCAAGTCTAAAAAGTTTATTTTTTAAATGTAAATGTGTGGGGGACAAAAATTAATGGAAATGAAAATAGTTATTTAGTCCTTAGTTTTAAAACTATGTCTAAGGTATCTGCTTACCTGGAAAGTCATGGATTTCGGTATCAAACAAAATTTGTCATGATTTTAATTTTTTTTTTTTTTTTAAAAATTATTTTTAAATTGTGGAAAGTCATGGATTTAGGTCGCTGAAAAATCTAAATTTTTAAATGGAATTTACCCCCGTTCCCTCACTTTCATGGTGTTCCAAATATCTGAATTTGTTACAAATTACTCACTCACAGTCATATTTGATTAAAATATAAAATATTTTTATTGTGTTCATTAAAAATTATGGTGTTCATTAAAAAAAATGAAAGAAGAACATAGTTTAGAGTGAATTATCTTTTAAACTTTTGTGATTTCAGAATTTTTGTTATATATTTTTTTATTTCATCGATTTAAAATTCTAGCTGAAGCAATCCAGTCAGTGGCGAGTTTTTTTTATTCCCAAATGAGACAGAAATATCAGGAGTATTTCTTTCCTTTTTGATGATCAAAAAAAGTATCTTTAGAATGTAATTCTGCAAGAGGGGGGTTTATTTGCTTTTGTAATAATTTTTTTTTTTACCTATTTTATTGCTTCAACTCTTTCTTTACTCTGTTTATTAAATTTAAAATATATAAATATTAAGATGCAGAATATAACAGTTTTGGTTTATACCTATCATTTCAATGAATGTTATTATAATGCTTTTTTAAATTTACTGTTGTGTTTTTGTCAGAGAAAATAGTAACTTCGTTAAGTCATGGAAAGTCATGAATTTGAAGATCTAAAATGTAGCAGATACCCCATAATGTTACTCTATTAAGATTACGACTCTAAATTTGTACCCATAACTTTAAATAAAATTATATCTAAATGTTATCTATCAACTTAAATTTTGTTTTTATTTTTAGGCCAAGACTATATTGATGAAATTAAAAATGAAGAAGGAAAAGTAGTTAGTTTCCAATGTAAATTGTGTGAATGCAAATTCAATGATCCTAATGCAAAGGAAATGCACATGAAAGGGCGCCGACATAGATTACAATATAAGGTATGTTTTGTTACTATCTATTTTTATTCAAATTGTTTTGTTAAAACTTAAGAACTTCAGTACAGATTGTTAAACTTCTTTTAAATTCAGTGGCGGCAAGTTTCTTCTCAAGGGGATTAAACTCTTTCAAAAAAGAAATGTCAAGTATTGAGTTATAATTTTAATTGCACAATCTATTTTAAATAATAGTATTGATTTACAAGTCATTTAATAAATCATGTTTTAATTAGCAAAAATTGATATTTAAATTTCTCCTAATATCTTAAGTTCCGACGGGCCAACCCTCCGGTTTTTGGCCGGAGACTCCGGTTTTTTACAAGTTACTTTCTCTTCCAGGGTTTTCTCAAAAATCTCCTGTTTTTCACTTATTTTTAATGCTGAATGCAGTTTTCATCACTTTCAGTCTCAATGCGTCAGAGCTGGGCGTGACCTAAGTTGTGACGTTTTTCTTATGTCTTGACCAATCAAGAACGTTGTTTCTTCTTTCCTTTCTGAATATGTAACCCCAGAGTTGGGAATACTGCTTTGTGATTGGCTTCTTTCAGAAGCAAGAACGTTCGCTGTATGCGCTGAAAAATTATTTCTTATATATTATAATTTACTTCAAATCTGAGTCATGATCTCCATGATCTAAGTTTGTTTTTATGCATTTCTCTGTCATGTTAGTTTGTTTTTTGTGTGGCAATATATAATGGCGGCAAAAAAAGTTTATAAGAAATGCTTAACTTCTTTCAACCTAGCTTATTCGGAAGAATTTCCTGGAATTATTGCTTCTGAAAAAGGATTGAATTGTGCCTTCTGCACGTTTTAATTTCTTAAAAATTTTGATCATAAATCTAAAATATTATTTATTAAAAATGAAATTTCTAATTTTCCATTTAAAGGAATTTATTGATTTAGTTACTTAAACTTTTATTTATTATATTTTTTAAAAATAACAGATAGTTTAGCCCATTTATTTGTTTCCAAGATCACTAGCTTAAATCAATTTATAAATTAGCTAAATAAATTTACTTGCTGTTGTTGCTATTCAGTATTATAGATATTAATATTGACAGTTGTTTAATTTTAATATATAATTTTAACAATATGTACAATTAGTTATTAGTTTATGTACTAAATAAAGTCTCCTTTAAGACTGAAGTGTTGTTATTTACAATTTTTTATTTTTTATTTTTTTAAAAAAACTTTTGTCTATTTTGCATGTTTCACTGTTGCATGATCATTTCTCTCTTCCTTTCGAAAGCTTCCTCTTTCTTCATTCTCCCAGGTTGGCACGTTTGCATGTCCATGTTTTACATATAAGGGTATAGTGGAAGTTCTTTTGTAATAAAATTACGTATTGTATTTTACTGCAAGTGTCATGATTTAAACTAACAATAATTTTCATAGTATAAGGCTGTTATATAGTATGGCAGTAATTTTCAGTTACAAATCAGTAATCAATTTCATAAAATTTAAAAAAGGTGCTAAAATAGAAAATTTAAAACTTTTTTTCTATTTGAACTGAAAATCATGAAATAATCGTGAATGTTTTAAATGTAGAGTATTTATTTCAATTATTAATTTATTTTTTTAACATTTTAGTAGGCAAAACAAAATTGTTAACTGCAGAGATAAAAGTCCTCCCTTATGATTTATCCTGACTTCAGTTTTATGTGTGATTTTTGTCTTGTTTCAGCTTTTATGTTTTTAAAAAATTATATATATTTATATTTCTGCCGCATAATTTGATTGCTTTCGGTAAAAGATTGTGGTGTTCAGAAAAAGAAGAATGCCAATTCTGAATCAATATATAGTTTTAAAACAATTTCATTGTTTCAAAAACAGATTTTTTTCATAGATAACTTAATAATTATGTAGTTTTAGCTTAATGAGTTATCTCGTTGATTGTATCTTTTCTCCTTTGCTTGAATTTCATTGAATTGTAATCAAACTTTATTCTCTTAATAGAAAAAAGTTAATCCGGATCTCGTTGTTGACATTAAACCAAGTTTACGTCATCGAAAGATCCAAGAAGAAAGGTTACGACGTCAGCAGATGATGGATGATTTTTGGAAGAGGAGAGAAGAAGAAAGATGGAGGGAAGAAATGAGGTAATCATTTTGTTTTATATGAAAAACATTTTGGATTGAATTTTCAATTTCAAAATGCTATTAAGACATTATAGAAGATTTATTTCAAGTATCACAATTTGTAAATGAAATTGAAGAATTTGATAGTTCAAACTTAATAACTTAAACACGGATTATATGTATGGTTCAGGCTTATAGTCTATCCTGCAAGGTTAACTTTTTGGGGGAATTTAATTATTTTATGAAGAAAATGAAAATTAATATCCGATTTAAAAATCAGTCATTTGTGTTTTTTTTTTAATGAAACAAGTTTATTTTTATTATAAAAGTTAATTTCAAAGAGTTGACAATACTAATTTTATCAATAAAAAATAAAAAGGAATCGCTAGCCTACTTATAATTCAAAACATATTTATAAATCTGGTGTAACACAACTGCTAAAGAAATCTTAATTTTTAAATTTTTATTTCATTTTCTTGAACCTGTTTTTATTTAAACTTTTTTTCCCTTATTTACCAATGGCACGATATCTGTCAAGAATAGACATCTATCAACGTTATGAAATGTAGACATTTTATTTTAAATAAGGTTTAAAATTCTGATTTTTATTCATTTATACTTTAAGTCAGGGGTGATTGTATTCTGGGTGTACAACTGAATTCCGGGTTTTTCATATCATTCCTATAGGTTTAGAAACTAGAAGCAAGGCATGTGATTTTTTTCACAGAATTTCGCATATCTCAAGATTGATTTGCGTACTATCAGGAATCAAAACTTATAATCTGAAGTTCTAGAATTTAAATTTTTGAACCTTCGCTAAATCACGTTAACAAGGCGTTTTCAAACACGTGACTCTTCCGCAATTTTAATTTTTGGTTTGTTGGATTTTCAAAGTTTTTAATCTTTGAAACAGCGCTGGAATCCTCCAATATTGAGATTCTTATTTAAACGATTTTAATATCTAACGTCAGATTTCGTATTTATCTAATTTAAAAGTTATTCTTTGTGAATCGTACTTATGTGATCATACATCGATATTCATATTCGCGCGATTTTAAAATCCAATATCGTGATTTGTATTTTCGCGTTTTTATAATCTAATATCGTGGTTCATATGCATGCGATTTTTAAATCCAGTATTGCGATTCTTATGAGAACTAAGTTTTTTTCTTAAATTAGTTACTATAAAGGGGGAATTCTTTAGTTAAAAAAATATATATAAAATATGAATTATATATAAAATATCTTGTTACCGAGTATTTACATGTAAAATTTTCAGTATTTTTCACTTCAATGTCACAGTCACCCCTGTTAAATTTTCATTAAAGCAGGAATTTACCACAATCAATTTAAATGCATGCCTTTCTACGTACTCTCTTCATGAAGCCACATTCACTTATGATAATAGTATAAAGAGAAATCTAGTAATTGGTCTTAGACAGCTTTTAATCCTACAGTTCTATTAAAAAAAAACTTTTTTTTTTTTTCATTTCTATGTGTTGATCTCAAACTACTGTGTTATTCAATGTACTATAAATAAAATTATGGCAGAAATCACTAAAATCTTCTGTTCTAAACTAAGTAATTCTGATATAAAAATAGTAATTTTTCTTTTTCACCAAAATTTCCCTTTATTGCTTTTAAGTCTGTCAAATTATACTTTATTTTGCCCTATTTAAAAGACGTTATAGTTAAAAAAACAAAATGCTTGTGTGCGTGTGTCTTTTTCTATGACGTCTGCATTTAATTGCTAGAGCGAAGTCGGGTTTGTTGAGCTTGTAAATCATATATGATTTTATTTTTAAAATTTAACAAATGTGTGATAGAAAAACAGTTATTTCTTTCCTAGAAATTGAACCTCATAGTTTTCTTTTTGTTGAGTATGATATCAAAATCAAAAGTTTGTATAATTTCTAAGTTCACTCTTTAAGTATTTGAATTATTAGCAAAGAATAGTTTTGTACAGTTACGGTGCTGCTGTTAACCAAACGTCTGTGTAAAAAAAAACATTTTAATCAACATGTTAAATTTCTGTAATGCTTAATACATCTATCTTCAATTTAAGATATTATTATCATTAATTTGATTAAAATTTGTAACTATATTATCTCATTAGTAATTTTGCTCCTAATAGAATTGTTGAAGAAGAAGAAAGAATGTATTGGGAAGAAAGAAGGCGGTATGAGGAAGAATTAGAAATCTATGAATGGCATCGTCGCTATAATAGAGAACCTAGAATGGGACCGCCCATGCCTCCTCCACCACCTCCAAGATCTTTTATGTTGGGGATGCCACCTAATGTTATGGGACCTCCTAATGTAAGTGGGATTTTTTGTTTTGTTAATATATATATTTTATATTTTCATTAAAGCTCAATCACTGATAACTTAGCATTAAATTTTTGTGGTGCAGAAGCTTTGTTTTAGGACAGTTTTTTTCCCCATTTCAAGAAAGGGTTTGTTATTTGAAACTAGCAATTTCATCATGGCTAGAATATGGTAATTAACGAGGAGACGATTTCAAAATTGCGACATATTAAGAAAAGGTTTATTCAGCTATAAATTTAGTTTGCTTGTTCTTTGAGATTTCCACAGCAGTGGGTGAAGGCTAAAAGTGATAATCTAACTATAAAAAGAAAGATTCTAGATACATTTGGCAATGGTTGGTCTAATTATCCTAGCCTCTCTTTAGGCAACAAATTTAGATGTGAATAGCGCTATAGCATCGACAGTTTAGCAAATGATAGGAATTTATAGTTCTCCTCTTGAGTTTTGCAGAAGAGAAATTAAAGGAAGGCATAATCTTTTTTTATATGTATTTATTTTTTTTAAAAAATAATTGTCGTATAAGTTTTATCTGAATTAATGTCGTATTAGTTTTATCTGATTCTTAAACATCAATTCAATTTGGTTATCCTGTTGCACTAAGTTACTAATTAAATTAAGGTTTTAAAATTTTAAAAAATGGAGCTCTAAATATTAATGTTTTAACTTGATGCAGTATACATTGTATCTCTTTGTTTAAAATATTATAATTCACTGGTATCACTTAGAAACATGACATAATTATTACCTGTTGCTTAGTTAGGTTAAGTTTATATTTTATGTATAAGGCATTAATGTTTTTCTCCCTTCATTTTTTTTATTTTTTTTTTTTTTTTTTAGCTAAGACGACCAGATTCAGTAGATGACCGCCATGTTATTGCTAAACATACTCAAATATATCCAAAAGAAGAAGAATTGAATGGCATACAAAAGATTATCACCAATTCAGAAAAAGCTCTTAAGCTCGTATCTGATTACTTGGCAGAAAAAACTGATAAGAAGTAAATACCTTTTGTTTTATTTTTGTGTGCAGTTTTGGTTAAAGAAATGCACAAAAATAGTTTCAAATAAGAAATACAGGCATTGACTAAAAATAGCCATTTAAAGTTTTGACCTACTCTAACATGTATTTTAAACATATTTTTCAAGTTTTAATCATTCCAGTTATCCTTACTAAATTTGTACATTTCTAAGATATATAATAAAAAACATCTTTACCTTCTCTTGAAATGTTAGATTTGTAAATATTTGACAATATATTTTTTTCCCCTAGAGAACCTCAAAAGACAACAACTACTGATGTTGTAATTAAAGAAGAAAAGACTGAGTAGGTTTCTGTATTTTATTTTCTGTATTTTTAGAGAGTTGTTTGATTGTTTTTAATAGTTTATTTCATTTTAGTGATAATAAAGAAATCAAAGAAAAAGAAGCTCCACAGCCATATAGAGTATTAAAAGGAGTGATGCGTGTTGGTGTACTTGCTAAAGGTTTAGTTCTTACCGGTGATCTCAGTGTTCAGTTAGTAGTGATGTGTGCTGAGAAACCTTCCCGATCTCTTTTAGATAGAGTTATTGAAAATTTGCCCAAACAACTCTCTGTAAGTATGTTTTATGTTGAACATGCATTTTTATATGAGGAGAACAGAAAATAACTGAAATGGTCGGGAAAATTTTTTTTTCTGCAAAAATCTGGAAAATAACTAGTTTAATTGTCAGAAACAGTAATTAGTTATTGAAACTTGATTTAAATAATTCTAACAACTTATTGCAATTATTTGTTGTAAAAATGTCACATTTTAGTGAAACTTTTCCCTGTTCTCATGGAATGATATTTTGTTGCTCACAAAATCTAATATTTGGCATTTCAACTAAAAAAATAATCAAAATTTTCAGATGAAAAAATTTCATGGTATTGGTAAAATATGATTTGGATTTACATTGACAGAGTGCGTGGTGTTCTTTTTTTAACACATTGTTCTATTTGCCCGTAGCGTATTAAAACATCATTCGTTTTACATGTTTGATGAAATACTTACCGGTTCGCATGTGTCTATAATGGCCTCTCATGTGCAACTCTATTGCATTTTGCGAGAGATTTTTAATTTAAAGCTTCATTTTCCACCCTCTGAAATTGAACCGAAAAATCTCTCGAATTTTCGCTGATTACGGGGATCAACAAATCATTGACAAACTTTTTCCCTTATAACGATGGGAAATTTTATTTCTCTTGTTAATTTCATCTTTGGTTCCGCGCCATCGCCTTCGTCACTGGCGAGCTAATGTCCTCCTTGTGATATTTTATTTATAGATCAGTACCATAATCTTTGAACTTGACTTCGGGATCATTCACTAATTACAAATTTTCATGTGGGTCTGATGACCAGTCAAGACTCCCAAAACTGCATCACTTCAAAATTTACATCTTCCTTTTATTCATTTAATGATAATTTTAAACATAATATTGTCATTTAATTAATTCATTTTAACACTTTTTTTGCTTAATACTTTTTATTAATTATTGTATTATTACTTGTAAAAATTTCAGTACTCTTAACGGGGATCTGTCCTGGCCAAATTTACTACGATTTAGCGGTGCCTTCACAAATTCAACTTCAGGAACAGCCGTAGTTTCACAAAATACTTTGTCTTAAAATTTTATTTTTGTATCCCGTAAGAAAGGATAAATCCATATTTTTGAGATTTTTTAGTATAATTTTTAATTTTCACAAATTATGTCTAAATTTTCACAAAATGTATCTCTCAGAAGAACCTAGACTGCGTGAGAACTCTTTTATATTTTTAAATTTAGATTTCAGCATATTAGATTAGCAGCAAGATTTTTTTAAGAAAAATATTAAGTGAGGGGCTTTTAATATTTAAACTGCAATAAAAAATCCTATATTTAGTTACGTAAAAAAATTCTGATTTGTCATTCCAAAAAACTTTAATTTTATTTTAAAACGATTGAAATAAAATACTAAACTATCTCAGATTTGTTAAGTATTATTAAGCATGTAGGAACCCTGTAATAATTTACTTCTGACAAAAGTTTTTAGCTTCAATACTCATTGTATTTATTTCAAATTATTTTTAAAAAAATTTTAATCATTTGATTAAAGAAATACTGAAAAGTAACAAATAATAAACATTCTTAGAGGCATTCACTAATTTACCTTAGTAACATGAATTTATTAGTTTTCTTAATTCTTTATATATCTTTATAAATTTGGTTTGATCAAAAATATTAATCTTGTTAATGTTTTGTTGAATATGCCTTTATAAATAACTTTATTTAAATCTGAAAAATACGCTCAATAGCCTTTTTACATGATAGTTAAATTAATTTTAATTTTGAATTAGTTTTTTTACATAATTAAATAAAGTAATTAATTTAAAAATGGAATAAGAAAGAAGTTGTAATAATAATATTATTGAATATCTTTATGTAGAAGCCACGTAATATTGAATATCTTTAAAATTGTGTCTAAATTGTTTTTATGGTGACTAATATAATCAACATAAGAGTTCTTTGTCAGAAACTAGTTATTTTGTAATGATCATGTAAAATCTTGGGTAATTATTTTGCCTTTTGTTAGTGTATTTAACTTTCAACAGTAGGAAAAAGAAAAAATTTTTATTAGTGAGCATATCTTCTAATTATTAGCTTGAGATTTTGGCATCAAAATCTGGGAAGTAGATAATTGTTTTTGTATCTTAATTTCAATAATTAAACAAATTATGGGATTGGACAATTACAATTTGTCAAATTTTTATTTATAGTTTAATATTTTATACACCAAAATTTGGGTTTTTGACAGTAACTTTCAGAACAAGGAGTTTTAAAAAATAATTGGTGGAACAAAATTTAATACTTCATATTTATAATAGCTAATAATTATTTGAATGCCAAAATTTTGGGTTTTTGACAATTGTCGAAAGATATGTCCAAGTTATTATTTTTTTTCACATGACGGTTAAAACCAGATAAGACCTTTAACTGTCACAAACCTGCCTAATTATTATTTTTTTTTTTTTAAGGTGCTAATTTTTTATTGAAAAATTTGGCTATGCACCCTGATTGATATTTTCCTAAAATGGGAATTCTGTTATTGTTGAAAAAACTAAAATAAAAATTTGTGCATCTGTGTAAAAATTGCCTGTTTCTTATAAAGTATTTTTGTTTGTATTTAAAGACTATAGCTCCTGATGAAAAATATGAAGTTAAGAGATGTATTGAAGAAGCTGCAATCATTGTCAGCACGGTCTCTGAACCAAAAATTACAGTCACTGTCACTTTGACTTCTCCTGTGATGCGTGAACCAAATACTGAGCCTGCTGCTGGAGGTATAATTAGAATTATTTTTCTGGTGCATATTTATATACGCTCCCCTGATGTAATCGTTTTTTTTTTTTTTTTTTTAAAGTTAATTGTTAATAGCAGTTTTAAAAAAGTATTACATAATTATTTTGAATGACTGCAACAAATGTTATGTATAGGATTTTTTTTTTTTTTTTAATTTTTTTTTATATATATATGATGGTTAAGATATTTGAATTATAATTATATTTTCTCTTGCTATGCCTTTAAAGTTCTCTAACATTTGCTGTAATTTTAAGACTTGTTTTAAGCTATCTTCAGCTTTTCGAAACTTTTAAAACATTGTTAACAGTTTTCATAATAAATGCTAGTTCTTTCTCTTAAAATCACAATTAATCTTCATATTATCCCAATTCTAAAATATGATTTTTGAATTGGAATAAGTTGAGCTTTGTGTGGATGGAAGTTTCAAAATCCAAACTGCATACTTAATCCAAATTCTTTGGAAAAAATATTTATATATATATATAGTACTATTGCTGTTAATACTGATTTTGATGGTGCATAAATTTATGAATTTTTACTAGATTAAATTATAACAATTAAATAGTCAAAAGAAAAAAAGATGTTCAATTTTAAAGATTTCACCGATTATTAGTATCAACAATTTGTATATATAAAAAAATAATAAAAAAAAAAAAAAACGGTCTTTTTTGTACCAACTTTTTCCCTGATAGCGAAAAAAATAAGACTCTTTAATGCTGGTTTAACTTCCAAGAGAGCAGAGATGCCAGAATTTCTAGTTCTTAAAATATGGGTAGGGAGGTCATGTAGACAAATGTGTTGCTAAACAGTTTGTTCACCTTAATTTAGAAGCAAAGTGCTTGCAAGAGTAAGATTTGGCATAATGCAGAGGTGCCAATTACTCCGAATTCGACAAAATATTTTAAAAATTTGGAAAGAACTACAAACTAGAATTCGTTTCATTTTAAAAAGCTCGGCACAGCTTTACTGTAACTAAGTGGCTTGTCATATAAGCATTTGAATTATTTTGAAGAAGTTGTGGCTAAAAGCACTAGAAATAGAATTTACTAAACCAAGAATCGTACTTTAAAGACTACCACTCATAAATATTTATTCACCGTCTAAGTTGTCACCTCTGAATGTGCAAAGAAATATTATTTGCTAAAGCAACTCCTTCAAATTAAAAACTGGAAAAATAAGAAAAAATATGTAGTTAATGAAATTATGGTCCATTATAAATAAACTATCAATGTTTTTGCTCATTATAAATGTATAAAATAACATTGGTTATGGGGAAAGGACTTCTAACAAAATTTTAATAAATAGTGTTCAACATATCCCTGGTCCATTGTTGCGTTCTGTACAATTCTTATCTTTTCTTCTAATGAGTTATCTTGATTCATAAGTTTATCTTGCTTAAGTTTATCCTACTAAAAAAGATAGCTCGATCTTAAAGTTTGGTATTTCCTTCCTACTGAGCTGTGTGAATAATTAAATAAAATCTTCATTTCAATTTTTTTCCAGTTTTAATATTTATTCATATTTCATGTTGTTAATTTTAAAAAAAATAAATCCAAACTTGAAATATGAATAGATGTAAAACTAACATTTAATTTAATTTCTAATTTTGTATTTTCTAATAACAGCAACAAAGATATTCTAATATACTTTCTAAACTTTTCTTTTGTACTTCCAGAATGGCACTATGAAAATATTAATTTTTTCTACATATCTAGATTATTAGAATAGAGCTTAAAAATATCCATTATTTGTTAAAAAAGAAAAAGTTGCCCATCAGACTTGTGAATTAAAAGTTCTTGTTTTATGATAGCTAAAAGTACTAATATATATTAGTATTAATTTGTTCAGTCATTCAAAATTAATTTTTAGTGAAGTTATTTGGAGTATTCAACAGCTGACTATGATTAGTAACCTATATATTTTGTTTAGTTTTGCTTTCTAAAGGAACAACATCCTGAAGGTTGAATGCTGTGTGGCTGACCTGGAAGGATTTTTGATCACCCTGGGAATTGTCATATTGTATTGCTTTTTTACACTATTAGAAAAAATTCGACGAAATTTTTTCTTCGATACTGTGTTGGAATTTTCGTTCATATCTTTGTATCTTTTGTGCAATTCCCCCCTCCCCCTCTGCATTAATTAGGTTCTGCTGTTTGATGTTAACTGTAAACTTTTTACTCTGCATACTAGTAAGGTTTTTACAATTACTACGTAATTTCAGTAAATTAATTTGAAGATTAAACAAGAGTCTCAGTGGTAGTTAATTATAGGATAAATTTGACAATGGTCAGGAGTTTTTTTTCTTTTTTTTTTTTTTTCTTTTAATTCTTTTTAGTAATTATTGACAATTAAGTTTGGTCATTGGTCATATTTAGTTTATAAGTGATCAGCATTAGTACCATTAATTTCTGTCAAAAAATCGCAACATTTTATCATAATTCTTTGGTTTGCAACTCCTTATTTTTGTATGTCTGCAATTAATGCTTTCAAGAATATCTTTAGACTAATCACCTGATAAGATCTTTTGAAATAACTTTTTTTCTTATCAAATTCTACTTTACTACTAATTTTCAACTCAAGTTACTACTAATTCTACTTAATTTTATTTATTGCACAGCTCAAAGTTGTCTTTAAATTAAAATGATTTTTTTCTTTTCAAATTTTTATTGGAATTAAATAGCAAGAATAAATATTTAAATAAAAGAGAATTGAAAAGGTTTTGTTATATGCCGTGAAAGTATCTATCGAAATAAATGCCCAAGTCTTCATAGCGTGTCGTATATGGTATAGGACAATCCGTGTGGGTGAAATACTTAAGAATCTCATACTCCACTGATTTTCGATAGGGCATCCTTTTTTTTTTTTTGCTACTATTTAGCCATTTTTCTTATTTATTCGATTTCTCCCACTTTCTTATATATATTAAAAAATAATGATTAAAAAATTCATCCTTAAGTGCAGGAACTACTACCATTATATCTGCAAATCCATGTTAGTATCCTAGGAAATTGTTCCCTTAAATCTGGAGGCAGTATAGTCCTTGATTTTTATATTCTAGACTTGAAGCCCTGTTATTGTATTTGTACTGAGAGAATATACTGGTACCTTTAGTATGCTTGTATAGTGGTTAAAGGGGAAAATGTTGAGTAAATAATAGTTAAAGTATGCTGTGTATGAAAAAGCAACACATATGACTAATTTCCATAGATCAAACACCCATTCCTTTCAGTCTTCATGTTCTAATTCAGTCTTCTATCATCTGGTTTTCTAGAGACTGTTGTTAAAGACCCGCCGGATGTTCTGGACAGGCAGAAATGCCTGGACGCCTTGGCCGCCTTGAGACATGCCAAGTGGTTCCAGGTTTGCATTTTATTTACTTTTCAGCCTTATGTATATATATGTTATTTCACTGCAAGAACATAAGCCAACAATTCTTAAATTTTAAGAGATTAATAAAATGTCAAATGTTATGTTTCAAACTGTTTTTCATCATAAAATTATTTATGATTGAGAATGAATGAAACATACAAAAATTTAATCTTTATTTCTACAAAAACGCTGTTTTGAATAGTTAAAATAGACTATGTAACTTGCTTCAAATTAATTCAACAAAACGCATTTTAAAGTGATAAATTTCTTGTTTGGTTAGGGTTTTAAATTAGTAATTGAGTTAAATAATTATTTATATGCTGTATGTTCATCTGTTTGAAACATAACTTAATGAAAACTTGCGATAAAACTACTTGATGTTAGCCTTAAATTAATTAACCTCAAAAAAATCCCTAGTTAGCATTGCAAGTCTCCACTTGCATAACATGAGGCTGGAAAGTCATTGTCCTTCAGTATGACTTAAATTTGTCAAATGATGGACCTAATGTTACTACTTTTGTCACTTAAACAATCTGTTAATACAAATGTATTTGTGGTTGTGGATGAAATATATTGGCGGACGTTAAACGTGTTAATCTTTCAGAGAAAGAAATAGTTTTGTAAAACGGTATACTAATTTTACCCCCAAAATTAAATCCAAAACCACTTGTGCATATTTTTATGGGTTTTTGCGTAATAATACCTATTATATCAGTATCAAAATAAAAAAAATGTGGCATGTATATGTGCATTTCATAGGTTTTAAATCAATGTGAAACGAAAACATGAACGATGTATTAAAAATTTTCTATTGTCTTAGCAATATATGTTCTTTTTTTTCCAGTTTGCTTTACGAGAGTTTAAATTTTTTTTCTTAAGGGATGATTAGTTTAAAATTTTAATTCAAGCTGCTTTTTTCTATAGCTTAATTATTTTGATTCAAGTGGATTGGTGATAAAAATCATTATAAAATATCCTACATTATGTAAAAAAAAATTATATGTATGTAATTGGAAAAATTAAATAGTATGAAATGTTTTTCTTTTTTCCCCCTTCCATTTAAGAGTTTCTTTCAAACTGCGTATTTCTTTGCAAAAATCTCATTTTCTGCTCTCATTATTTAAAACTTTGGTCTCGGGAGGATATAGTGTCTTAATCGAGGATAAACGCGATCCTAAAAATCTATGCAGTACCTGGAATAAAAAATTAGTTATCCTCTATTAATTTTGGTTAAATGATCAGATTTTTTTCACATGGACACTATGCGCAGCTCTATATTAATCTGAATTTGACTTTTTAAATAATTAAAATTCACAAATGGAAAATTTTTATTGAAATGCTGTAGGATTTAATAAAAATTTTACCATTGGTGATTTTTAAATGTATTTAATCAAATAAGATTTTGTCCCAAAATATTAATCTTATTTTATTATGTTATCACACTTTTTTTGAAATTAGTAATTTTTTCCGAATACTATTACATTCCTGTTTTTAAAGAATATTTTTTTTAAGTAAATGCATAGCAATGAGAATGTAAGTTTTAACTTGTTTTTTAAGATAAGGAATTGTGTAGCTCTTCTATTTTGCAAAATTCTTTTTTTTTTTCTCTTTTTTTTCCTATTTTTCATAGATTTTTTTTTAAAATAAAAAGAAAAAGGGAGCTAAGTTAATTGTCTTAAATAAAATTATGTACTTTTCTAAATTTAAAAAAAAATACTAAAGCTTTGTTCGATTTGGCAGAAATTTTAGCTATTTTTCTTATTAAAACATTTCTTTTAGCTACGTACTAAAGAAGCTTAAAATATGCACATATATATTGTCTACATTTACTCTTTTACTTGTGTATAAAGTATTCTGGGCATACCTGAATTGACATCTGAGAATAATTCTTATGGGTTATGTGAATCTGCACGATTTTCTATCTTATTAACTATCTTATTACATCTAAATCGATAGCATATTATCTACTTAGGCTGTTGAATGATGTTGCATCTGCTTCCTAAATCGATATTTAGAAAATGTTATACACTGTTCCATTTTTCTTTAATTTCTACATTCTTAAGTACTGCTCAGAATTCTGGAAGCATTTGCATCTTAATCTTAAAAGCTTCTGTTTCTCTTGGCCCGCATACCTACAGGTACCGCAGCTATTGTGGACAACATTTATAAATGAATCGGATGCAATTGCTAAGCGTTTACAGTTTCAATATTGTTGGTGGGCAGGGGCATTAAGAGCAGATATCCTTTGTAAATCATGAAGAAAAATCTCATTTCTTATTTTCCTCTAAAAATTGGGTGAAAGTAAAATTTTATGTATTAAGAATTTGTAGCTCTTTTTCAATATTAATAACTTCTTGAAACATATCTAAAAATAAGTATCTTCTCTTAATTAAGGTATAAATTTCTGTGAAAAATAATCAAGATTTTAAGAAAATTGAGATGAAACAGCGACAATATATGAACTTAAGAGTATTCATGCATTAAGGGCTTAAGATTTCTTGAAAGGAAAGTATAAAAGTTAGAGAAGCACAAAAGAAAGGAAAATTGAATCTCTTAAAACAGAACATTTTGTTCCTACTGTTAGGGTGTATTTTCCCCCCTGCTCACATAGTAATTGAATTTAAGAAATGTGTATGTCTTGACTTTTAAAGAAACAACCATTTTCTTCTTAATACAATAACATTGCCATTCAATTCAAGCAGATCTTAGAGAAAATCTGGTATTAATATACTGCCTAGCTCGCCCTCGAGGAAGACTGTAGATAATTTTTTTTTCTTTGTTTTCTTCATTAGTTTAAAAAAATGGGGTAAAATTGCTCTGACTTCTTTTTGAAACATCTCTAAACTTTTCTGAATAAAAATTAACTAATTGAGGTAATACGTCAAAGGACAAAAAGTTTTTTTTTTTTTTCAAACTCTTTCCCCCAGTATAATCTGACTGCATTAAAGTTCCTGGCAAATTTTAGATTTATTAAGATAATGATGCAAATTCACTCTGTAGATTCTGCTATCAAGCTGCCTAGTCTCAGTCGTTCAATTGTATGGTGCAGCTTTTTATACCACTTTTCATCTTGAACTACCTTTTAACCTCTTAAATATAGCTTTGGTGCTGCAGCTTTAGCTTGATGCTGACAGCTTCAGTGGTAATACAGTTAGGAAACAGATCAAGCATGTTTTTTATGTTTCTGGTAAAATAGTTTCTTGGTGGATATTTTGATAATACTCACTCTACAATTAAATATTTTACTGACTCCCATATAATTTAATGTCATAATTCTGATTTATTTTAAAACGCTCGCACCTGCATGCTGAAAAAAAGTTTATTACTATCAGAGTGTGAAATTGTCTGTTATGAAACAATAAAATTTTTAAAAAAATTAGTACTTCTCCCTTGAAGTACTTAGTACTTCTTCCCCTAATAAGATTCCATATCAGTCACAACGGAATTTTTATAAACAAAAACTTAAAAGTTGCAAGCTGCATTTCCATATGTAACAAATATATTTTAAGTTAGATTATTTAGCCATTTTTCAAAAGTAATAATGCATCATCCAACTGCCTGAATTGGAATACAACTCTTAAACTATTGATGGGGAACAAAGAGAGAAATGTCTATTTGACACTTTATGTAACAATCTATCAATAAAGCAATGGAACAGTGTGGTAACACTATTTTAAATCTCTTTTTGCTACTTAACTGAGTTCATGTGATTTCTTTATCTCGTTGGTTCACAATTCAGGTATGTAATATTTTACAGTATTGCATTTTCTTACATTTTTATTTTCCTGCAGGCTAGAGCAAGTGGACTTCAATCATGTGTCATGATAATTCGTATTCTAAGAGATTTGTGTCAGCGTGTCCCTACATGGAGTCGTTTAAATGGCTGGGTAAATGAAGCTTAACATTTAAATTCAACAACTAAATGTGAACTATTCACTTCTGTTTTATAAGTGTTAATATTTTCCTCAATCAGGCTATGGAACTTCTTGTTGAAAAAGTTTTAAGTAGTAGTGGACAACCTCTTAGCCCTGGTGATGCTCTTCGACGAGTTTTTGAAGCTATTGCCTCTGGTGTACTTTTACCTGGTAAATATATTGTTTACCATTTTCATCATATGTTTTTACTAGATCCTTTCTATAACTGTTTGCCATTTTTCTAGGTTCTTCGGGTCTATTAGATCCATGTGAAAAAGATCCCACTGATGCTGCTGGCAACCTTACTAGCCAAGAAAGAGAAGATATAACTGCCAGTGCTCAGGTTTGTTTGTGCTTATTTTCATATTATTATAAAGCAGGTCTTTTAATTTGTAATCATTTACTGGATCTTTAAATGTCTAATTTGCAATTTTTAAATAATCTTGTGTAATTTAAAATTCATAAAGTCTAAGCGCAAAGAATTTATTTATTTATTTTTTTTTAATCAAGAAATATGTGGTTGGAAATAATATAAAGGTGTGCATTGTTACTGATGATGATCCAGTGAATGTTTTTTAGACATCTGAAGACTTGATTGTCTAAACATTCTCTGGGTATTGTGGTCTAATCATAAGTGACTTGGAGCCAGAGACATTTCAGCAGTACTTTTTTTTCTTCAAACATTTTTATTTTAAAATATATGTATGAAAATAGAAGCTTATTATAATAGTTTAAAGTATCCCTTTATTTTATAGTATATATATATTTATATGTGTGTACTATCAAACTCAATGACATATATAGAAGGATTTTTAAGTTGTTTAGCAAAATGTTCATTAAAAATCTGTGTCCAAAAATCTTCTGAGGCAATACACTTTTTAAACTATAAGTTGGTTTAGCAATTTTTAAATTACTAAACCAACCTAGGTTTGCCTGAAGATCATACATTTCCAGTTGGTCACAAGGCATCTCACTTCAGTATCCTTTGTATTATTAGTTAAACAGTGCAAGTTAAGATTTTTAGGAAATCAAAATTCAAACACTCTCATCAAATCTATCGTTTAATGAAAAAAACGTCAATTATAAAAGAGAATAGGAGAGCTATGAGTTGGACCACATTACCTGGAAAACAACTAACTGAAAGAAAAAAGATTCTGGTCAATGGTCTATCAATCTTGTTATATTTATTCATTAATGAGCATTTCTTTATCCACAGCATGCTCTGAGGCTTATTGCTTTCCGCCAAATTCATAAAGTTCTTGGAATGGATGCTTTGCCTCCTCCAAAATTCACTAGAGGACCCTTCCCTCGTAAACGAAGGCGTGATAATAGCACAAGTGAAGGAAATGATTCTGAAGGTAAATTGATTTTCATTAGTGATTTTTAATATTACATCTGATTACTTGGATAAAAAAAAATTTCAATATCTGATCTGACTCATGTTACTTAAATATATTTTTATTTACAGAAATATGTTAGATTGTTATCTAAAAACAATAAATTTTTCTCTTTGAATCCAATAATAAAGAAATTTAATATCTAATGTTGTACATACCTATTTAAATATATTTTTATGTTTAACAAGTAAAGTAAATTAAAAATTACTGTTCAAAACCTTGTCAGCGTAAAGTTTGTTAAGGCAGGGTATCCGCGCACCTGGAAAGTCATGAATTTCTGTATTGGACAAAATTTGTCATGAAATGTCATGATTTTAACTATTTTTTAAAAAAAAATCATGGAAAGTCATGGATTTTACCCCTCCCCCAATTGTTCAAATGTCTGAATGTGTAACAAAATCCCCACTCACAGTCATGATTTATTAAAATATAAAGTGTTTTTATCGTGTGCTTTAATAATTATGGTGTTCTTTTTAAAAATGAAAGAAAATGCATTATTTCGAGAGGGAATTATCTTTTAAACTTCTGTGATTTCAGAATTTTTATTATTATTTTTTTTTATTTTATCAATTTAAAATTTTAGCTGAAGCAAGCCAGTCTTTGACGAAATTTTTTATTCCGAAACGAGAACAGAAAAATCAGTATTTCTTTCCTTTCTGATGAACAGGAAAAGTATCTTTAAAATGTAATTCTGCAGGGAAAAAAAGAGAAAAAAATTTATTGCTTTTGTATTTTTTTCAACTATTGTATTGCTTCAACTCTTTCTTTACTCTGCTTTTTAAATTTAAAATCTATAAATATGAAGATGCAGAGTATAACAGTTTTGGTTATACCTATCATTTCAATTAATGTTATTATAATGCTTTTTTTAATTTATTGTGTTTTTGTCGGAGAAAATAGTAACTTCATTAAGTCATGAAAAATTTTTGGAATTAGTCATGGAAGATCATGAAAAGTCATGAATTTGAAAATCTGAAATGTAGCAGATACCCTGTATTTAAATATAATATTTTTATGTTTAACATATAAAGTAAATAACGAATTACTGTTCAAAAATTTATCAGTGTAAAATGCCTTAACCTTTTTCCTAAAACTTACTCAGTAGCATGTTAAGTTTCATACAAAAAATAATAATAATTGAATTTTGTGATAATGATATTAAATTAAATTCTTTTCTTTGTTTTTGATTTAGGAGCTAATGGACAAAAGAAAGATAAAAAAGATGATAGTAAATCTGATAGAATGGAAACTACAGATTCAAAGGCATGAGGAGGCTAAACTTTTAAAAAAGAAAAAAACTGTGCATTTTATTTTATAGTGCTGTTGTTAAATTCACTTGACATGGTGTTTCAACTGCACCTGATTATTTTGCAACTTGCATTATTTAAAGTGTAGATTTCTTTTGTTTTCTTTCCATTTTTCATCACTTACTACATGTATTTCCACAGGGTGTATCTTGTACAAGGCATGTAATGGTTCAAAATTCAGTCATTTGAAGTTGTGATTTCTTTTCACGTTAAATTAAAAAGCATTAGCATCCTTAGACTTATTAAATGTTAAAACTTCATTGATATGTGAATACTCTTTTGTGAGGGAAACAAAAGATGTTCTTAAGGAAGGGTTTAATGTTATATTCTTTAGAAAATAACCTTTGTCATTGAAACTTGTATTTGCTATCTTAATACATCTGAAATTGCAGTAAAATGTATATAATTGTGAACAAGTTCCTTGTCTTTGTTTCATTTAATTTTTGCTTTTTCTTACTCATTAGTAAATTACGACATATATTCATGCCTATCTTAAAGAAATGATATTTTTAGTAAAATTTTATTTGTTGTTTTTTTATGTATTTATTAAATGAGCTATTCATAAATTATCAAATATTATTGGCTTCGATTTATTTTTATGATTTCAACAAGTTGTTTATAGTGTTTTTAAGCATGATGCTAGTGTTTCCGAGTAGCAAACACTGATCTTAGGAATGTGTGGTCTGTAAATTGACTACTCAAGAACACTATACTAAACTTACTATTCAACCTCATTAAAATATGTAGAAGCAATTATGATGCTTGAAGATTATCCTTAGGGAGTCCTTCCTCTCTGGACTGAAGTGTCAAAAAAGTGGGGGGCGGATAAGGAAAATTCTATTTTAATATTACAAATTAACTGTTGGATATTTATTTGACAGTACATGGTGCATAGCGTTTTTAAAAACTGCCTAAAGGTGCTTATTTTTTATTTACGTTTTTTAAAAACACTTAATTCTAAATTACAAAAAATGCATAATTTTTTCTGCAATATTTCTCAGAAACTACTTATTTTGTCATGATTATGTGAAGTTTTTGAAAATATTTTACTGATTTAATGTTTATAAATTAAGAACTTTAAAAATGTTTTTTTTTTTTTTTTCTGAAGAGAAGCATGTCTTGATAAAATTGTACTGACTTTACATGATAGCAACAATATTTTTGTTTTTTACTTTCACTATTTCTTCAGTATAATAATTTAAGCCGTAGTAGCTAACATGCAACTTTTAGAAAAAGAAAAAAAGTTCAATAGCTGTAAAAAATGTCATTTAAAGTTATATTTGATTTCTACAGCAATAAGTGTTTCTAAGCCTTTTTTTTTTCTTGTATATTTATAAGGTTATTAGGATATTGCCTGAATATTAACGTCGTTTTTAATAAGTAAATTTTTTCACTGCTTTTTCTACCATGACCTGTGTTGAGCCCTGCTGATGATTTAAAAAAAAAAACTTTATTTCTTCAGTAAGTTACTAAAACTAAAGAATTTTATTTTATTCTGAAAAGAAATATCTATTTGGGGGTAAATTTTTTAGTTTTCAGTTTACCTAGTTTATTAAAACAGTTAATGTAGAATTGCAATGATTATTGCAACAAACATAAGTATATGGTATTCCTATATTTTTATTGCTACTCAAATCGTAGATATTAATGCTACTTTTTCCAAAAATCGTTTTTGTTGAATAGTTTTGTAAATTCTTATTCAGAAAATAAAAATAGATTTTAAAAACAACTATTTTTACCTGATCTTAACCATATTTAATTTGGATTAGATTTAAATGGGACCTATAAGTAACGTCGCGCGTATATGTCTAAACGATTGACTTCAGAATCGCCAAATACCATGATTTACCTCTAATGCAGTCACTTTTTTGCTCGTATCCAATTCAAACTCTAATGCAGTCACTTTTTTGCTCGTATCTAATTCAAACTCTAATGCAGTCACTTTTTTGCTCGTATCCAATTCAAAGCTTTTTACCCATTGGCTAAATTGGTCTTTGTTTGGATTTGATGGCGTCATCACACTTTTCCAACTACAATAATCAAGAGTAATAGTAAACAGTGTGCATGTGTTGCCATGGCGACCACTGCTGTTTGATTATTTTTTTACAATTCCTTTTTTTCACTTTTAATTTTGTTATGCATTAAGTTAGTGAGTTTATTTTTTTGATATGGAACCGAATTTCCTCATTTGAAAGTTATTTTTGTTTTAATTAAGAATCGCAGAAATTCTAACCTACAGTTCAAACTTGATTGTTTTCAATACTAATTCAGGTGAATATCACAAATAAATAGGATCCAAACTGATTGACACAGTTTCAAAAGTTATGAGTTCAAGCCAGAAGGCCGAGGTGAAAAAGCCAACGAACGCAGAGGGGAATACCTTAAGCATTACACACAAACTGAAAAACGAAAGAATTCTGTTCTCAAACGCAAGAATGAAGCCTGTCCCTCACAAAAGTACCTAGATTGTACCCGTCCCTCACAAAAGTACCTACAAAATTAACAAATGTAAATAATTTCGTGGTTGAGATATTGAAGCCTACCGAAGAGCGAATTGTGGCTCTCCAAACCCCCTTCGTGCAAATACGAGAACTGGGTGTTAATCACCAATTAGGGATAAAAAGATCCATTGTCAACGTACCCAATGACTTACACAAGACCGTAGACTGTCTTCCACACAATATAAATTATTCATTCACTATTCATGTATAATTGGAAAAAAAAGCCTAGCTTTCAAGTCATATTTCATGTATGAACTTGTGAAACTGAAACGGGTGTATGATGTAGCTTATAATCTCCTTCAAACACCATTGTACCAATCCCAAAATGTTAATATTGATATCGATTGACTGTCTAATGTCTATTAATGTGTGATGTTCTCCATTGGTTAAGATCGTTATGGGATACTCTCATGCGTGGTCAGCCAATCTGGTTCGGTGTACATGTGTGATATCGCTTGCAGGAATTAAATCTATCTGATCCGAAAATTTATAAGCTCGAGCTTTAAAACTAACGTTAACACGCCATACTCAACCATTTGATTAATTGCAAATACCCAATTAAAATTAAAAAATAATGCCTATGTTGCTATTATGTTTTAAAAAATCCTCTCTGCCCGGTATGTAATACTTTTTTAAAAAAAATAGGATATTCTTTAAAAAGACAGTTTTTCCCATAATATTTTCCAAAGAAAGATATTGAAATTTGAACTTAGTTTAAATCTCCGTTAAGAAAATTAATCTTGAGCAAGGAAGGTTAATTTTTGGAAAAGAAAAAGTTAAATAAATTTTTAAATATTTTAACTTATTTGTCCGTTATGGTTTGATAGTATTGCTTCGAGTTAAAGACTTAAGAGTATTTGGGTTCATTTGAATCCTGTGTAACAAATAGCAAATTTTAAAAAAAAAAATTCATAAATTTTTTTTTTATATGTACATAAGTTTAGTCATTATTGAGGGAAAAAAATCAAAACTGATGTATTGGTATGGAGTAAAAGAAATCTATAAAAACGAAAAGAAATATGTTCTCGATTCTTAAAACAAAGTGTCAAAATTGATTTGCTTGAATATAATTTTTAAAAAAATCAGAAGTACAAAACTTGTGGTTCGGTATAAAGTAATCTGGTTTCAATTCAAATTTCGTTTTTCCATTTGCCTCTCAGGCAAGTTAGTGAACTTAACAAAATGTGTGTAAAAACTATTTCTAATAATGTATAATTAAAAAAAAAAAAATTGCCGAAGAGTAGCTGAATATTCGTCACAGCGCAAATATCTTATTAAATTCTGTTAGAAATAATTTGTATATTTTATTTATTTGGAAATTATGTTTTTAGTTGTTTGTGAAATTTAAATCAAGAGTTTACTAATTTGACACATTAGACAAATTTGGTAACTAATTCAAGAGTAATTGCTTAACAAAAACAAAAAAAACACTTTGCTTGAATAAATGGATGTGACGATTGAGGAGAGAGGGGTGTGCACAAAATAAAAATATTCAAGTTTAATAAAAGTATTCGATTAATTGTATCCATTCAAATAAAAAGGCGTATTGAAAAATTTCGAAACACGTTTAATTGCGCATTGTTTCATTCTTGTAATTAGGAACAAAATAGAACTTGATATAAAAAGGCGTATCGAAAAATTTAGAACACGTTTAATTGCACATTGTTTCATTCTTGTAATTATGAACAAAATAGAACTTGATTGAAAAAGTTAGAACACGTTTAATTGCGCATTGTTTCATTCTTGTAATTATGAACAAAATAGAACTTGATATAAAAAGGCGTATTGAAAAATTTAGAACACGTTTAATTGCGCATTGTTTCATTCTTGTAATTATGAACAAAATAGAACTTGATATAATGAATCAGACTGAAGGCATGAGAACACCTTACCTCTGTCTAACGTCGTTGTTAACAGCTTGGAACCCCTCACTATAACAGTTAAAATCCTAGAAAGTCACCAAGAAAAATATTTAAACGCTAATTGAATTTGGTAATAAGCACTATTAAACCAAAATAATTTTTCTTGTTATTTATTTATAGATAATGTTATAGAATAGTACAGTTTTTGGAAGCTTCTTCAGGAGCAAAGCTATAATTTTAAATTATATTTGCCGTGAAGAATTTTTGTGTGCTAGAACGGACAAATATTTTAAAAGTTATCAAACTTTTCTAAAAATCGCCTATTTGGCTACATTTTCCCCTCTAGATGAACATAATCAAGTTCACTGCCTTATTCTTAGTTTCTACAAATTTTTATGAGCCCAGATAATGAGGCATTGGCGTAAGTTTTTAAGTATTAAAAAATTAGACCACTAACGCTTTTTATTTTCATAAAACTGTGCCTTTTCTCCCTATTGACGTTTTGGCGCGATTTTCTGAATAAGGATCGGGGCCACTCACTGTTGATACGCTAAATTCGATCTAATAGTTATGACTAACTATTGCAAGCTGACATCAGTTATAAAAATAGCATATTCTCAAAAAGGCATCATTTCATATGACAAAGGAGCCCTCGAAAAACAACCATAAAAGTTACACACGTCATCAATGTAATGATATAGATAAACAAAACATATAACAAGGATTTGGTAAATTCCCAGATTGCTCTACTGGTTCCAACAAGTGTTGTGATTAAAAGTATTCTAGTGGTATTCAGATCATATCTTAAGAGGCCTTTACCGATCACCGTGTTTGATATTTTCTTAAATAAATTTTTAAAAAAACCTTGCTTTTTAACTTCTTCTTATAATTTTGGAAACAAATTTTTAAAGAAATAAATGGAATCAACTACACTCAAGAGGAAAATCTCCGGGGAAAAAAAAAGAGAGCGTGTTGTTAAAAGTTCGCTGGATTGTAAATTAAATACGAGCGCCATCTTGGATTTTAGATTAACTCTTTGATTTTCATATTCTT